ACTGCGGGCACTATGTATTGAGTGCCAAGTAGCACGAAACCCGGGTCCAGGGTTTCCTGTTGACTACCTCCAACCACCATTTAAATCTCAATACATAGTGCCCGCAGTGTCGAGTCACCTAGACTGTTGGCCACATTGCAACATGATCGATAGCATTCGATCTGCACTAATAAGGACTAGACAAGCATGACATTGATCACCACCCAGTGATCGATCAATTGTGAGGGGTAAAGAGTAATAATAATAGTAATGATAATAATGTGAACACAATTTGAAACCTAATCACACTGATTAATAAGTCAATATTACCGGGGTAGGTTTTAGGTGAGAACAAACTGTTTTTGAATACACAAAGGGGGTTTGAATTTTTGTATGGCTAAGGCTCCAATAAACCTTAGTGCATGCCCCTTTACACTTTTATACAACACAGAGAGAGCAATACCAAAAATCTATTAAAGTGAGGGTAAAATCAAACATGAGACAGATTTCTGAAAGCGTTTTTAAAGCTTCCGAAGTGATAGACGCCGGAAGAAATAAGTCTAAACATGTGTTACTGTAACCGAAAATTCAACATAAATAAATTTAAACGAATCCTTCAAACCTTCGGATATAATCACCACTAAAAAGAAGGGTATCTCATCAGAACACCACGGAGATGAAGTTTGAGCGAGTTTGAAAATTACAGAGAAATCACATTACTATGAGCATTAGGAAACGTTTTTAACATTGTTGTCGAACAGGAGATGAATGACGAACATTTGAGACAACTGTGTGATTCAACAAAGAATCTAGTAGCTAACCATAGTAAACTAGACAGACTAGTCAACAACAAGGAAGTGAAGATAATCACTGAGATTCAGGAACGGTGGAATAGGTGGGTAGAGAACCTTGGATATTTCTTGAATAGATCAGACACACTGAACTCTCCACACATCGTAGCAACACATGCAGACTTTACCATAAATGTCACCCCACCAACCGTCGGAGAAGTCAGCATGACCATCAAACAGATCGAGTGTGGGAGATTTGGAGGACCAGACAGCATACTAGCTGACGCACTGAAGTCAGACAGAGAATTAATTGCAAAGGTGCTCCACATTCTATTCATAAGGATTTGGCGGGAAGAACAAGTGCCGCCGACACACTGGAATGAAGGGTTATTCATCAAGATACGATGGAGAGGAGATCTGAGCAAGTGTGAGAACTACAGAGAAATCACACTGCTGTCACTATTGGAGAACGTTTTCAACATAGTGTTGTCGAGCATGATGAGATTCAGTAGATACCCGACCTCGAGATCAACAGACTGGATTCTGTAAGGATTGATCGTGTGTTGACTACTTCGAGACACAATGGATCGTCGATGGGCATTCGATTGAATGGAACTCGTAACCATAGGTCAAATTTCTTGAATATGAGAAAGCGTTTGACAGTGTGGATAAGAGAACTTAATGGAGCCATCTTTGAGAAAATTTTCAACATCATACGGAATTCACAAGACGGACTGAAATGTTGTGCAAAGAGGATAGCTGATAGATGCATCCCAAGTGAGGACCGGTGTCAGACAAGACTGTATACTCTTGCCTTTCCTCTTTCGTTTGATCGTTATCCGGATGACGAAGAAGTCCATATCCCATGGGAAGCACGGAGTACAATGGACATCTTGGATGCAACTAGATGATTTGGAATTCATAGGTGATCAAGTTTCTCTATCTCATACACAGTAATAAATCTGAGTGAAGACAGCCAATGTAGCATCAGGCTTTACAAGAGTAGGTCTCAATATACGCAAGGAAAATAGCGAGATCCCAAAATACAATACAGAGATCGACAGCACGATCACACTTGATGGAGAAGCAATAGAAGGAGTGGAAAGTTCAATGTACCTGGACAGCATAATCGATAAAGAGAGAGGACTGACGCAGATGTGGAGGCAATGATTGTCAAAGCATGGGCAGCATTCCTGTAGGGGAAGAACAGATGGAACTAAATACGAATGTCATTCAACATCAAAGTCAGAACTTTCAATGTGAACGTCAAGGCAGTTCTACTGTGTGACGCTGAGACTTGGAGAATGACTACGACAATTATCAAAACAGTACAGTTATTTATAAAAAATTGTCTACGTAAGATACTCAATTTCTGTTGATCGAATACCATCAGCAACAACTTATTGTGGGGAAATACAGACCAGCTTCCAGCTGGGGAGGAAATTATGGCAAGATGCTGGATGGGGATGTGCATCTATTTCGGAAATCATCAAACTGTATCACGAGGCAAGTGCTAACTTGGTATCCTGAAGGGAAAAGGAAAAGCGGAAAACTAATGAACACGTGGCGTCGGGAACTGGAAGCAGACGTGAAAAGAATAAATAGCAACTGGAAACGACTGACCAGAATAGAGATGGATAGAAAATGCTTGCCAGAAGCCTATGCTGCCCCACGAGAAGTAACAGGAGAAGGTAAGTATAAAATTGAACGCTACATTCGTTAAACACGCTTCTCCGCACACCCCCTCAACACCCAAGATTCCTTCGGGCTGGGTGCGAATCGCCCAATATTTCAAGAAAAAGCTGGTTATGATTTAATTTTCAAAATTAATGAGAGTGGATACAAGTGTTTCTTCTAGCCTTCCCCTTTGTATTATTAACTCGATCTTTCGATTTTTAAGGGGATGAAACAAGGGTTTAGCCTTTTAATCATAAAGAACAGAACTTCAAGAGGCTAACATTTAGCCATTTCTGCTCAAGTTTTACTTCAACACAACATCGACATCGTCTGACGGTTGGAGTCGCGCGGAAGACTTAAATGGGACTGGTGTAACGGTATTAAAGTCACTAATGTGGGTTTGTTTTCCTTTTTGCAGGGCAGGAAAGAATAAACGTACTGGAAGAAGAGGAACAGGTCCTACGCAAGCTGGACCTGCAGAACAATGAATAAATCCATTTTGTAATAAGTTTCCCTTTTCGTACTCGAACCGCGTCTTTCAATTTTTAAATATATATCTGTTGTGCCAGTACGTCGCGTTCTTACTTCAGTGGCGTTTACCGGTCCTGACTGTTGTGTTGTGTTCTAGATCTCCATTGCTTCCAAGTGAACGCTAATAGTACGTGCTACACTGGTGAGATACTGACGACATTGACGTGAAAATTATTGGATAATTGTTTGGATTGATACATTTAGTTGAGCAGTTGCAAGTAGTTAGGAGCTAATTGAGCTGAGATTATATACACACATCTCAGCGGGGTTTACTCCAGCGGCAATTAATTGCTGTTCCAGGCAATTGATTGAGTTGCTCATTACAGCTGTCATTAGGTTTGTTCAGTGAGGAGCGTAATTTTTGTTTAAAAGTAATCGATTAGTTGGTTGGTTAGATCACTGATATTGATTGTGATTACCCCAAAACTTAGAGATTTCGGTGATTTGATCAAAGTTATTCTACTTCACGTTTTCATGTTTCCTATCTTTGGTTTTAATAACTAAAGTTCGTGGTTGTGATAAGTGTGTCCAGTTTGGTTGTTGGGTATAATGCGACTCTATTAAACTGCATTTGTTTGTACTGTAACATGTCATAGCTCAAATCATTACCCACTAAATCTGTAGTGTCATACGACTTTGTCATACTTTGGACGTTCGAATATATTCTGACGATAGTCCTAGTGAACTTTATTGGTACTTCGGTACTACGTAAATAAGAAATTCAACAAAATATCCATGTATATATATATATATATATATATATATATATATATATATCAAGTTTTTAAAATCATTGTGAACACTACCATGTGAAAGAATTATAAAGCAATTAGTCCCTCTGAAAAATTTCGATAATGTAATAAGATGAAGATTATCAGAATTAGGTGATATATTGGCGCAATACATTTCGAACAGTCTGACCATGTAGGGAAAGGCGACGGTCAATGGCAGTGTCTTGAATCATCCGTCACAGTTATTTGCCATTTCTCGTTAAAAAGTTTCAGTAATGGATGCAGACTACAAAGTTTGTATCGAATCAGCGACTACACTTTTACTATATTACATATGTAATATAGTAAAAGCCTATAGGATATCCTATAAACTTCCCCTTAGCTATAGTTTGGTGTTTTTCATTATTACTTGTAGTCTAATTAAATTTAATACTTATGGTGAACCGATGAAAACCAGCTTCTTAGCGCCAGCGAAAGTTTTTGGCTGCCGTTTACTACGGTTGTTTAGTTAAATTCGTGCCACGGTCTGCGTTTATTTCAAGTGAAGTCTGTGTTCATTGATTATAAGGTTTTAAAGTTCGATAATTTAAACACGTTTAAAGTACTTGACAGGTTCAGAATCTAGGTAGTTGGTTTTGGAGATCAAATTAGTTAAGTTTGTTTTTGTCAGACTTATGGGTTGCAGCACCATGAAAAACTTAAGAACAAATGACTTTCGCTTCAGTCGGTTACTCTTTAGGGGCGTCCACTGGTTATTCTACCAGGAATTAGGACTAGTACCTTCAGGTGTTGAAGCGAGCTTATTTTCTTTACACCTCTGGGTTGGAATTCTGTGGTTTGCATTACGGAATTATATCAGCTTTAGGTTTAGCACGTTAATGATGCCTTTTGCACTTGCTTAATGAAGACCAGTCACGACTTCTGACTAGACTTTCGAGAATTCGCCGAAGTTGGTCACTAATGCGCACACCATTATTGTTTAGTCCTAACCGGCTAGATTGTGACATAACTTTTGAGTTCAAACACAGCTTTGCGTGTATCATATTGAGAATATAACAGATATCTTCATCTGATTAAATGCAATTCCAAACCCAGTACATAAGCATTTACTTAATTGCTGTATTTGACTATATTTTCAAGTTTAGATATACAAAAGCAAGAGTCTGAGTTGGCATTTATTTTTAAACCTTAACTTTTGCAAACTGGAAATTTTAATCTTAGTTAACCTTGTATAATCAATCCTTTAATATTTCGTGTTTACACAGTCTTATTCAGATCCATTAAATGTATAATGGGGGATCAACTACTTTTCGAAAATCTTGACGAGAAGCTAGAAGATGAAGATGGATTTGTATGCGTACTGATATGCACCAGATAACTTTTATTTTCTAGATTACTGCAAGTTGGTTATCTATCACTTTCGACTTGAATATAGATGCATCGAGACGGTAATCTATCTGGTTCTCAATATATATATATATATATATATATGTACGCATATTCGTTTAGTTTGATGGCGGCATATATCCAGGCACGTGACAACTTGGCATCTGTATATCTACTGACTGGGATCAGTAAACAAAATGATATATTAGTTAAGTTGGCCAATTCAGACCAGTTATCACTGGCTCAGAAGTCGTTCTCGTTTCCACCTAAATGTGTTGTGTATAGTATACAACGCCGACAATGCAAGGTGTTTCTGTTGACAAGTAAATTAATAAGTGACTTTTAGGATTCTTTATCATTGGCTTGCTACGATTTATTGCATAATATTTCTACAGATCAATTAAAAAGGTTAGTTCACTTCTTTGAGACTGTTCAAATCTATAATACTTGCACTCGTGTATATTTTATGTACTGCTTTGTAACTGATTCTCTTTAGATTAACTAGTATTCCGTGGGATTCATCTTCTGATCCACTGACATGTCGAGAAAATCAAGAGACTGCACAAAAAACACCGGAACATGTTGATTCTCCTGTGTTACCGAGTCTTGCTACCAGTAAGTTACTGGAATCGCTCAACAAAATTAGGTGGATGCAATAAGAAAATTAAAACTTCAGATTTCAAAAACTTTTTCAGTAAGATTGAAAAGTCTGTCCAGGATGGTTAGTTAACTATTTGTTATATACTCATTTCTGTAGATAAAACGCTTGAAAATTATTTAGCAACAAACACTAAGAATAACATGTACATCATTATTAGTTTTCTTACTCTGTCTGTAATATTATTATTTTAGGATTCCTAAGCCAGTAGAAAGTGGGAAACTGGATGTATCGGACGAAGACGAAGAATTTGGTTTGAAAACCACATGTAACACCTCACCCAACCATACTTTTTATGCGTATTTCTAGATTCTTCGCAAAAGCGGAAATGTATTGTCATTGAATCCGATGAAGAAAAAGAAGAAAGTAGTACAGTGACTAAGGATTGCGTGTCTACTAATTTATTTAATTCTAAAGCAAGTACGAAACTTAGAAACAATGATATACAGAAAAAGCGACCTACTCGCAGAAAAGGTAATCAGATTTTTTTATGGTAATTGGAGTTATTTAAACTTTTCTGTTGAGTATTCGACGTGTACTTCTGGCAGACGGTTTTTAAACATTTATGGAGGAGAGATACAATTTACGTATATTGTTGTCGCTTTTGAGCATCGTTTACGCGTATGAAGCAGAAGTAGTATAACTAAACTGTCTCACAGAATGTACTTTTCGAAGGTGGAATTTGCGCTCAATATATTATGGATTAGTATTGAGTTGGAGGTCTTAAGATGGAGTGGTTCAGACATGTTATTACTTAAAGACATTAGATTTTTATTTGAGTCGTTTAGGGGGCTATAACCCTTGTGAGCATGGTTTAAAAAGTAGTAAAATCAGTAATTAATGAATTAAATGGACCCACTAGAATTGAACTGAGTGACGAGAAAGCCGAAATTAGATTCCAGGAACAACTGCGGTCACACTAAGGCAGCTTCGTTTTTAACGAAGCTGACCCAGATGTTGCTTGAAAAGATATACAGACAGCTGTGGAAATCGGAGTGACATCTATTAGTGGTTTAAACCACAGGGTTACAAAGAACCAATGGATTTCTTCAAGGTCTATTGCACTGATGGATTCTCGTAAACTCATCCCATCGGGTTCTGAACACGATGAAGAGCGAAAACAAACCCGATCTAGGTTAACCAAATGTCTAAGGAACGACCATGAGGAGTAGTAGGCAACGAAAGCAAAACAGATGGAAAAAGCAGCGGCTGTAGGTAACACCAGACAGCTTTTCAGACTAATATAGGGAGCTGTAATAAAGAAGTCAAGTGTAAGTGAGACTATCTCTGGAAAAGATGACACTTATCTACTATCAGTCCAAACGTTTAGAAAGATTGGCAGAACACTTTAGTGAGCAGTTCAGCTGACCTTCAGCTGCTCTACAACTACCCACCACTCCCAAACAGCCTGAATGGAACATTGGAGTAGGCCTCCCCGTCTCTAATTGCGATTCGAAAAGCTATAGCTAATCTGAAACGATGAAGAACAGTTGGTCCAGATGGATTGGCTCCAGTCAGTCAGTCAGCTACAACGTAGGACCAGGCACATATGTGCATCGGTCCAGGTTGCCATACCGCATCAGCACAACAAGATGAACACCGGATTCATAGCAGTGGTTAGGTCAAAGGTGGTAATATATAAGAGAAAGATTGCATATAGAGATATAGTACAAGAAGAAAGAATTGGTTAGTAGAAAGAAAGATATGAAGCGATTTTAATCTCTTAATTTAAGGGAAGACAGGGAGTGTATACACCGACGCCATTGTGATCGATTCTGAGCCATGTCACCCAGAGTCTCCAACCATTGGTTACGATAGTCACGCGGACCCCAACCAAGTAGTCTGCATCTACCAACATGGCTCAGACTAGAAGTTAGTGACCTCAAGCACTGATGCCACGTTTTGGTTTGGCCGCCCCTAACTTTCTTCCAACCATCCCGAACGCCGGTTAGCATTGCACGTCGTGGTAATCGGTGTTCAGGCATACGTAACATGTGGCCCAACCATCTCATTCGATGAAGATTCATAACCTCATCAACTGATTTACCATCATTCCCTAATACCCTGCGTCTAACATCACTATTACTTACCCGGTGATCCCAGCAGACGCCAGCAATATTTCTAAGGCATCTGTGGTCAAATACTAATAGCTTACGAGTGTCTTCTACTCTTGATGGCCATGATTCGCTGCCGTAAATTAAAACAGAACAAACTGCCGCGCAGTATACTCGTCCTTTTATTGATAAACGGATATCTCGCCTTCGCCATAGGTGACGCAGGTTGGCAAAAGCCAATCGAGCTTTTCGAATCCGTGCTGAGATTTCGTCCGATACCAACCCATTATGGCTGATCAGACTTCCAAGATAAGTGAAGTTGTCAACGCGTTCGACTACTTCACTCCCTATCCTTAGTTCAGGTGTTAACGCAGACCAGTCCTGAAGCAACAACTTGCATTTAGAGGGAGAGAAGCGCATTCCAAACATCCTGGCATTGTTGCTCAGTGCTACCAGAAGACTCTGCACTTTATCAGCGTCTTCACCAAACAGGATTGGCTCTGGAGGTCTTTAAGTATAATGGTTCAGTTTTAGTGATTAGATTGGCTAATATTTTGGCTAAAATCTGGGAACTGAATGTAATCTCAACTGATTGTTCGCAATCACTGATTGTCCCAATATATAAGAAGGGATCAGAATCATCCCATAACAACCACAGAGGGATTAGTTTAACTAATACAGCATCTAAAATGCCAGCCTCAATAATTATCGGACGCCTAACAAAGACTCGTGAACTGCAAACACGATAAAATCAGGTTAGCTTCAGACCTGTTCGTGGCTGCATCGACCACATATTCACTATTCATCATATTTTAAACACAAACATTTTGGCGTCCGACAATGATAGTTTTTCTTGACTTAAAAGCAGCATTGGACTCTGTTGGCTGAGAGGTCCTGTGGCAGTGCCCGTCATTGGAAAGCATACCTCAGAAGTACATAAACCTTGTGAAGGCTCTTTACTCGAACACTACCAGTCGAGTCAGAGCTTATGGCGAACTCTCATCTGATTTTGTCACCTCAAGTGGTGTCCGGCAAGACTGTCCATTATCTGCATTTTCGTCCAATTTCATCATAGACCTATTGTTGGAGATAACTTCCTGGTCGATTAAATTTTCGGTAACTGATCTCCTTCCAGGAGGTCCACTTATCGACTTAGAATACGCAAATGACACAGTCCTGTTTGATGAAGACGCAGACAAAATGCAGCCTGAGCACTGAGCAACAATACCAGGATGCTTTGAATGCGTTTCTCCCCCTGTAAATGCAAACTGTTGTTTCAGGACTGGCCTACATCAATACCTAAACTAAGGATAGAGAGTGAAGTAGTCGGACGCTTCGTCAACTTCATTTATCTTAGAAGTCTTGTCAGCCCTTGGGTTGGTGTCTGACGAAGTCTCCACATGGATTCAGAAAGCTCGTTTGGCTTTTGCCAACTTACGTCACTTATGGCGAAGGCGAGATATCTATCTATCAATTAAGGGACGAGTATACTTTTCAGCAGTTCGTTCTGTTCTACTTTACGTCTGCTAAACGTGGCCATTAAGAGTAGAGGATACTCGTAAGTTACTAGTATTTAATGACCGATGTCTTAGAAATATTGCTTGCATCTACTGGGATCACCGGGTAAGTAATAGTGATGTTAGACGCAGGGTATTAGGGAATGATGGTAGATCAGTTGATGAGGTTGTGAATCTTCATCGAATGAGATGGTTGGGCCACGTGTTACGTATGCCTGAACACCGATTACCACGTCGAGCAATGCTGACTTGTGTTGGAGACGAATGGAAGGAAGTTAGGGGTGGCCAAACCAAAACGTGGCATCAGTGTTTGAAGTCACTAACTTCTGGTCTAGGCCATGTTGATAGATGCGGACTACTTGGTTGGGATCGGTGTGACTATTGCGACCAATGGTTGAATGCTCTGGGTGATATGGGTCAGAATCGATCACAATGGCTTAGGTGTATATACTCTTTGTTTCCTCTTAAACCGTGAGACCGAAATCGCCACATATTTCTCTTTCTACGAACCATTTCCTTCTTCCTTATATGACATTTTTTTACTACCATTGAAGTAACTGCTTCTATGAATTTGGTGTTCATCTTGTTGTGCAAATGAGGCATGGTGACTTGGATCGATGCATATATGTGCGTGATCCTACATTGTAGATGACTGTTATTATTTGTTAATAACATGTAACTAGGGTGCCCGAATCGCACCGTTTAAATAAGTTAATAGGAATATATAATACAATCTATGAATAAATAAGGAGAAACATTATTGTATAAAGGATATAGTTCAGTTAAAAAAATAGTCAAAACGGATTTTTCTCAGTTAAAGAAGTTCATTTCACTTTTTGTGACTTGTCACCACTGCATCCGAGCACACCCTGGCCGAAGCCCGGAGTAACTGAATATATGAGCGCAATCCTTTTGCTGGGATAATGGTCGGTTACACAGTCGCCAAATATTTCAATATAAACAATAATTCTTCAGTATCATGGCTTTGATGCATAGTAGAGTATATAGACGTTTATAATCTTACATTATATGTTTTTAGTTCAAAGGTATTTGTTTTCATTCGCATTTTCAGATAAACTGAAAGTATTAGCTTCTGATTCAGAAGCTGATTCATTTCTCATGGAGCCTACACAATCTGAAAAATCACCCGACAATGTTAAAAAAATCGGTGTTAAAACTTTGTCAACACCGATTAAGTGTGAAGAAAATTCAAGAACTGAGAAATCTAGCTGTGCTGCTGGTTTAAATCGTATTCGTCACCAAGTAATGAAAACGTTTGCAGATGAAGATGGCTTTATGGGTAAAGTAAACTTTTCCGAAACTATTGTTAATAGTGGACAATTATGTGGTTGATTTTACCACTAGAGTGTATGATTATTTAGTTTTTATTGTTATATCATCATACTGCATTAGTATTAAAAATAGAGTTCTTACAATAATGCTTTACAAGTGTGATATATATATTTTAGTTACGGAAAAAGGCTGGGAATGTTCATCAGATGATGAAACCCCTAAACCGACAACAGCACCCTCTCCTTGTATGGATCAAAATGAGAAAAATGAACGGGTTGTTCAACCGAAAATTGATAATACTGTCTCTCTAACTGCACCACCAACGATTCAACAGACTGTAAGTAGGAATTAAGGTCACTCTTTTTTTATTAACCTATCACTTTCAAAAGAAAATTATTCAGTAATATTACATAAGATTTTTTGACCTTACTACAGCATTAGGTGATTTACTTCGTTACTATGTCATTGGAAAAAGCATCAAACTTTCCGATTATTATGATATATGGCTTCTATTAACAAATTAATATCTGAACAAGTGGGTTAAAAACGTATCTATTAAAAGTAGACAGTACTGGAAGAAAACAGGTGTTTGCTTTGTTAATCTCCTTAAAGCCGTAGTGAAACTCCTAGATAACCAAAGCTAGGTTTGCACTTTTAGGTAATGCTAATAACTTAGTTTTCAAACACTCAGAATAAAATTCCTTAGCCATGGTGGATGTCTTGAAACTGCGAATGTCCAGGAAAAACAGTTAACCTTCACTTGAGTACATTTTTGGTTTCTCGTCATTGAAAAGTGTGATGTCGTTTGTAGCTAATTACGCTTTTGGCTCTCCGGCAGTATCCCAAACGCTCACATAAATCGAATGCCGGATTTTAGTGCCCCCTTGTACCAAATAAAGTTGCTGATTACATGCACTTTTATGCATTTATTAATCGAAGGTAAGTAACATGGTTATCTATGATACCGATGGTTGAAAATACTCAAACAAGAATATTCTGAGTACTTACACTTGCATGTACTGTTCATCAAACTACGAACTTATTTAGTTCTGGTCTGGGAATTTTAATTTGAAGTGTAGGTCTTCTAATAAGGGCCTTTCCGTATTACTTAGAAAATATAAACTAGTCATGAAGGATTTAAAGTCTCATTTTCAAACTTCTTAAGAATAAAAAGGGAATAGCACCCAGCCAAGCGTTTTGTTGTGGTGGCTGTAAGGTTAGATTTATGGTCATTATGATAACAGTTTACTAGTGTACGGCACATAATTTAACGGCAGTATATTGCTGTTTTTACATTGATAATGTCTAGGAAACAAGCCTTTGTTATTTTTTAAATATCATATTGGGAAATATTTTGTTCAACTTGAACAGTTAGTGTGAATGAAGCTTTCAGTATTTTGGTATATTATTTCTACAGAAAATCCGCAACAACAGTTGTTAAACTCTATTATTCCCATCTGAGGCTGTGAATCGACACATGAATGTGTAAATGTTTTTAACGAATACCAAAATTCTGGTTAATTTTTCATGAGCTTTGGTTCCATTTAAAATGTGGTGAATTCTGTTCAAATAATTCATACTACTTATAAGTAGCTAAGATTATCCACAACAATTGTTTCACAGTTCTTCACATTGTTTATTAATGTTGCTTCCATAGGTATGATATTCCAATTTTTAATGTTTAAATTCACTTTACTTTTACAGAAGCCACCCAAACAATCAAACAAAAAGAACACGAATAATAAGCCGGCAGCTAGTAAACAAGCTTCATTGTCATCATTTTTCAAGCCTAGTAATACTGTAAACTAATTACTTGGAGATTCAATTGTTAATTATTTTCTATGATTCTCTTATGGAATCTCTGTATAAAAACGATTTATTTAAAAAAAAATTAGAACATTTTCTGTGTATCGGACAATTAACTTCGTATTTATTTGGCGCAAAAGTTCAAATGCGGGTTGGTTGTGTGACTGAGTGATGCCTGTACACGAGACTGAATTATTAGCTCAACCCCTTGAATGAACTAATATCAAAGACAAAATCATCAGTCGGGAAAATAGGTTTTTATATGTAATAAAACAACATGCTTCCATACAAACTGCTGAAGATAAAAACAAGTATGATTAGAAATCATTTTGAAGATGATCGATTAGAAGATACTGATTTTGTAGATTACTTGGGCGCCATTAAAATTAAGATTAGAATGTCAATACAAACGGGATCGATAGATACTCACCAGTATAATGTTCATTTTGCAATACTTATCTTTGCCTTGGTAATTCTGTAGTAATCATTCGATACTGGACATATATAAACCCATAGTTTATATCACCAACCATTCTTTATATCACATGTTAACGATTTTTCTACTTCATACTGAGCTTTATACAATTATTAATTAAAAAATGCAAAACAAAACAACCCTCTATTTAATAACAGCAGTTTACTGAAGTACTAAATAAGTATATCTAAAAATAGTATGTTTTTAGCAAACTATGCATCAGATTAATCATCAACTGTCTATCAATTATATATTCATCAGTATTGATCAAAATAATTTGAAATGACCGCTAGACTTTAAATTGTCACTCTTTATGTTAGCTATAGCTGAGGATAATACATACTCGTAAAGAAGCAGTGTACATGGAACCTGGAAAAAATTCGTGGATTCAAGTTGACCAGCACAGCAGCCAAATAATTAACTGCTGTGGAATTGATTATCTTATTGGCGAAACACACAAGTTTACAAAATTAGCAGTAGCACTAGTATTCCATGAATAAAATAAGACAATAGGCATTTTATCAACAAATTACAAACAACTGTGTGATTGTAACTCTAGGTAATGAAGACTTGATCCCCTTTGAGTCTCAGTTTCTCGAAGTTGCATAAACTCCGTGCTACTGAGTGCCTATCGGTTACCTCTAGTTGTAAAAATCAGTATACTTCTGTCTAATGATACCTCTCATTTAACAGATAGACTACATAGTACGTAGACGCTTACCGTGCTTTACGTTACTGTCCGATTATTTTTACTAAATTCTCTTTAACGGTCATTTTCTTCGTTCTTTTTAAAACTGTGCACCCTCCTTTGCATTGGATTCCCAGGGGGGGGGGTCAGTAATTTCAGTGTATTAGGTGATTATTGTTGAAGATTCATGTCTAGGTCAGTAGCCATTTGAGACACGGATTCCAGGTTAGAATGAATGTAAGTAATTAAATTAGTAATAACCAATACTCCTGAAGTTTATGATGTTTACTGCATTTTTAGAAATGGAGTTTCACTCAAACGTTTGTAATAAAGAGATCTATTATCGGGATGTGATGCGCCAGTAGTGTACAGTTTTATGCTTTATGTGTGATACATTATAAGGTAAATAGTGTAAGTCAAATACATATGCATTTATTGCTATTTCAGAGCCCTCAGGTGTCGAAAAAATGTTAACACGATCACAAAAATCATAACTGAAAAGTTGATTTGATTCATATAAATATAAAAATCGTACATATTTCTTTACTAATGGCTGTATCGTGTTTATTAATGTAAAATAATGGTCAATATTTCAGTCCGACTATTTGGCTAATAACAAACATTTATTCACCGTGACTAACTATTTGAGATATAAAACATTTCTTAAAGGGATCTATTTGTGTACATAGTGCTGAGTCTCATTTTCATCAATTTGCTACGGACCTGGTATGTTTATGACAGCTAATAATTTCAGGAAAGGACCATGTACCTAGTACGCTGCCCCACAGTAGTCAATAGAATCATAAATCAGTTGAAAACTTTATCACTGTTCAGGGATAATGTTGTGAAATAAGCTGCCAACATTAGTATAATTAACACTTTTGGTATTTGATAAATTTGCGGTTCTTTTTACACCTTCAATGTTTTCATAATTAACTTAATAATCATCCCCGTCAATGTAATAATAAGGTTATCTATAGTGTGCTAAGCTTCAGATTTGAATGAGATCGTATTTAAAATAATTGTACCAAAGACTTAGTATATCAGTAAGAATATGGCTTGTTTTGATTAAACTCTAGACTATCTCCTATCTAACTTGAAATATCAATTAATAAGAAAAAGTTCATCGAAATTTCTAAATTAAGAAATTTTTCTCATAAAAGTTGTACATGAAATATATTTATGTGTTGTGACAATATGATATTCAAAATACACAATAGTTTATAAATATACAATTGATTATGTTCTTAATCCAATATCAATAAAAATAAATGAAAGTAAAACAAACAGCGATTCTTTACTATTGAACAGTGAACAAATAAGTAAGATATGTTATTATTTCCTTAATGGTAAGCATATAGGTTATAAGGAATAAACAAAGGAAATGTGGAATCACGACATTTAATAATCACATTAACATAAAAGATGCACTGCTAGATATGTGTTTCGACGTAGCTTACAACTCCATAAGGGATTTAACCAGAACAATAAACTACACATTTGGCAGAAAATTCAAAGTGAGTGTAAAGAGGAACGGGGTTAGGAAAGGTGATGAGAATAGAAAAAACAACAATTATTTAAAAAATGCGCGATCATGAAAGACAAATGGCGAAATATTGAACAAATTTTTCTTCGGGGAGGGGAGAATTTATTTAGTTATTGATTGATAGGATCAATTAATGGCAAAAATAAATGGCGCAGTGACAAAAAACATGTGACAAAATTATTCACAATGGCAATATGCATTTGAGCACATTTGATAATGAAAAATAACAATAAACTGATGAAAAACGATCAACTTTTTTTTTAGAAATAAACAATTGTTAATAAATGTTCATGACCATAATTCAACAGTACAATGTTTATTAGAGCTTTTACTTGTTAATTTATAGTGTTTAGCATATTCAATTGCAGTCCTGTTAGGCTGTGGATTGTGATTTTTACCATGATAATTTGTGTTATTGTTAGTTTTTATATATGCTGCTGACGATGATGATGGTGAACTGTTTAAACTATTACTATAGTTACTACTATTGTTGTCATTATTATTCTCATTATGAATAGTTGGTGTACAAATAAATTCTAATAATTCATAATGTTTATTATTTAATAAATGAAAGGAAGAATAATTTATCGATTCATAAAAGTTGGAATTTTTTGGTAGAGTTACATCTGTGGGAAATGAAAACGGGAGAAACGAGTAAATTAAAGAAACAAAATGTTATAGTTTCACATTTATCGACTATTCATTAGATAGTAACTGTTTAGTAATGAAGATGAAAATCCAGTCACTAATTTTAAGAGATACAATATAGTGTTACATTGCTATTAGAGTGTAACGATTGTTAGTTGTAATCCGACAGGTTATTTATGAGAGTAGACTCTATACTTTTTAAAACTTATCAAAAAGACATCTTTAGGACCGGGATACGTACACCCTTTGTTACATTGAATATTTTCAGATTCGAAAGAGCTGTTAAGCGTAAAATTTAGATCACAGACGTTTTATCCGCCAGTTTTAAGCATTATACAACCAGAGTAGTTTAATAAGAATGCAGATACTTGATGATTATTTATAAATACACATCAAACTAACAAAGTCAGTAGAAAATAATGATACTGCACAGAGAACGTAGGTAGGTTAAAGTACAAAGAGTAAACAATTTTCTACACAATTTATACCTACCACTAATTTTTCGACTGTCTCAGTAAAAATAGGCCAAAAATTAACAGACGATCAGTATAAGGGTTTTGTGGAGACTTTTGAATGTTACTGATATCACAAAGCGACCATTCATTGAAAACATGAGGCACTGGGCAGTAAGTAACCAAGAGACTCCTCAGTGGTGTGTATACACGACCTCGTCACAGGAGATCAAAGCCACGGTCTTCAGATCTTGTGGCGAGCGTTTATTCTCTAACCTACTTCACCGGGATTTGGTGGTGTACATGTCTAACTTCAACCAGTTCGTGATACTGCGCGACCATCTTTTATAATCTTAGGAGGGAAATTGCCCCACGTGATATAGTTAAAATTCATTGATCACCAAAACTGGATATTACTCTTAAAATCGGTCACAAGTAAGCACATGATAATTATCAGTATAGAGGCTTCAGAAGATATTGAATGTTACTGATTCCCAGAGTTCTAGTGAGAAGCCGTGATCAGGGGAATCCAACAATTTCGAGTATGAGGCCGTCACACTCCGAAGATAATGGAAGATAGTTGCTCAATGCTGTAATATGATTAGAGTTAGAAATGTACATTATAGGATGATTGCTCAGTGGTCTGCAAATTAAGCGCTCGCCTCAAGATTTGAAAAACTCAAGTCCAATCGTTTATAGTAGGATCGTGTGTGTTTTATTTTATTTATTTTAGCGCATAGATATTGGTACAAAAAGGCACCAAATACATATGCGCCACACAAGTCTCACTTGATATGTGTGAGGGCTGTGATACTGCCCGGGTGCCCAAACCGAAGCAGGTGGTTTTCTTAGGGGGCCACACACGGAGCCTTCGACCTGAAGATCTGATCCATAAAGTAGTGGAGCATCGTAAGGAGATTCAGTCCCATGGTAGCCGGTGACCAACAATTGGTTCATACTTTATTTGTTCCTTCAGGATACTGGAGCCCATGTGCACCAGTGGTCTGGAATCAGGGTTTTCCAACTCCCCTAGGTGGACTCTCCATGTCCACCAACACGGTTAAAGCGCCGGACATTCGCTTTTCGTCCTTTCAATTTCGTAAACAACACCCCCGCCACGAGAAGGCAATGAGTGGGACTTCCCTGGAAGAGGCTATATACGCGTGGCCATATGAGAGCATTTCGAGAGGGAGAGAGGACTCTCCCCACTCTCGACCGTACCAGGGCATTTGAGGGCAAAATTTTGGGGGTTGTGTGTGTACTATAACGAAACTACCATTCAGTGACGATATTATTAAAAAAGAATGAAAACAAATAAAATTCTTGAAATATCACAAAAACCACTTACCTCGAGCATCTTTACAGACATGAATGAGATCATAATTATCAACCTTTTGATCGGCACAACCAAATAGTTTTAGGGCTTTCGATAGCACATCAGAAACACTATCCACAGGAGAAACCGACTATTAAGAAAATATATATAAACGATATGGATTATGACGGGAATTTTGGATTAGAAAAATAAGTGGATACCCATAAAGGATTTGACATTATTCTGAGAAACTGTTTATGAATAATGGAGACGATGTTCCGCCGTAGGCTGATAATGTATGAATCCCTACAGAATGAAAATCAGATGACGATGTTGCGGTCTGTTCACTGTGTAGGATTTTGTTTACTAGAAATGTCAATTGCGATTTCAACATGAAAAAACACATTTTAGCAATGTGTTACTCACGACAATTATTCACCTGCTAACTTCTAACAAAATGTTTGGATGAGGGACATTGTTTAAAGTCACGAGTTGATAGCATCTGGAGAACCATTTAAAAATGTAGTGCTCGTAGGCGGTTCTACCATAGCATGCGTGACCGTAGCTAAAGAAGAGATTATACACAGGGCGTGGAAGATGATCTACATCACTGGTTAACTTTAGATAGACATTAAACGAAGTTGAGATAGACAACACTGGATATGAACATATTTTGGGATGGAATGGACTTGGAGAAACAAAGGAGAATGGTGAAAAACTTGAAAATTTATCTGGCACTATACTCCACCACAACGCGTACACAAAGCTAAATAGGTCTCACCGGATCACAAACACCGCGAAAACCACACATCTTGGCAGCATAGTCGAAAGACTGGAAGGATATGATGAGGATGTGAAAACACGAAATGGAAAGGCTCGACCTTTGAAGTTGAACATATGATTTAATTTAACTTGGTATTTTTTTAATTGAATCTTCCCATTGATGCTTAGGACTGCAATTGATCAATCTCTTATTGGCATATGTGCATACTGTGTGTATTTCTTCGACATTACCTTAATTAACAGGCATTACAAGCAAAGATGGATAGTGGCTAGCAGTGGAATCCAGGACGCGTGTTTCGTCCTATTTGGGACTCAGTAGCCAAGTGGATAACAAGAAGCGTTTGAAGCGAATGGTACTGCGTTCGAGTCCCAGAGTGAACATCAACTCTGAGATGCAGGTACGTCCAGCTGACGAGTCTCAAATAGGGCGAAACGCGCGTCCTGGATTCCACTGCTAGCCACCATCTATCTTTGCTTATGAACACATATTACCGGGAAGATTCATAGTCAACGTGTAACAGTAAAAGAAAGTAAAAAATGGTGAACCTTAAAATAATTGTTCATCATGACGTTGATTGGCTATGCAGGTGTGGTGATGTTGTGTAGGTCATATCTTCCCACATTACCTGTAATATTCAATCCGAAGCCCAAATGTATTTTTCAAAAAGTGCTAAACAGTGTGGATCACCAACTTAGATGATCTGTGTCGGATGATTAGGAGTCCACTCCAGTAAAAGTTACACCTGGCGGCCAGTATCTAACGTGAATCACCCTTTCGTCATGTCCAAATACTATGGCTGATTTGATGACTTTACAGAACGAACGACATTATTGCAGAAATATGTTAGTAAGAGTAGGTACAAAGAACAAAGCTCGACCAATATTTGTGTTCAAATGAATAAATGAATCAGAAATAAACAATTATTGAATAAGACCTATTATCAAAGTAACAAAGATAAATATAATACTATCGAAATAAAATAAAACGTAACAGATTGGTTTAAAACTGTCCTGCGAACCAGCCTATACTGAACCTAATGAAAATATATTCATCAAATATTTTTAGACATCAGTGTTCTACGAGGCGTAACAGGCCACATTAATCGAAATCTAAGGCGTACAAGACAACTATTTCATCCTACCACATGGCAAGTTAGATGTAAACATTATCCTGCAAGCCTGTCTAAAATGAACCCAATGAAGACATATTCATCGAGAGTTTTGAGACACCAGTGACAGGAAAACAGTGTTTTTGATACGTTAGAATCTTCCCCTCCAAATACCATGTATTCTATCATTTAAACAACATCTTAAATATACCCGGATCATTCTGAATCTTTCTCTGCATTTCATTTAAAATACCTAATACAAATGAATAAATAGATACGTTTTGCTGTTTTTGAATACTTACCAATTGAATTGTGGGTTGCGTTTGTTTCGAATTAGAAAAACGATTATCGTTATGGCCATGCGATCCATGAGACAGGCTACCTAATTGAGCAACTTTAGCAATAAATGGTGAGACACGACCATCATGCTGACTATTTGTATGATGCAAAGAAACAGTAATGGATAAATTACTGTTGTTACTATTGCTATCATTACGTGCATCGAATGTAGTTGATGAACTCTTGTGTGTGTTCCATCTAGAAGTTGATGTCTATAAAGGTTGAAAAGAAGAGTTTATAAAGTATTATGATTTAGTGTTAGATGACACCTAACGTCAGTCAGCTATATGGGTTCCTATCATCTTTTAATATTCGACTAACTATTAACGGACAATATCAAGGTCAGGCAACCCATCAATTAGTTGATCCGAATCAAAAGAGATCATCTTCAGGAGGCTGACTATGTATATGAACTCACTGTCAATAAGATAATTTTTCTATTGTTAGTAGTATGAAGGGACTGTGAAAACTGTAAGGTTCACATCACAGACCGGTTTTATTAATAGAACCAGTGTAGAGAAAGAAGTATTGGGTAGTTGCTTCGTCCTAGTATAGTGCTCCTCAAATGTCTGTATCTACGATTCTACTGTTGAATTACGCAGCGGGTGCTTAATCCTCAAACCAATGCTTTACATTTTTGACTTCAGTCAATTCACGATATTGTTGATTTAGTGATCTAAATGTTGAGGTCTAGTCGCAAAAACTGGAGGTCCTCAGTTTGATTATCAGTTACTGATGGGCACTGTTGAGGAGTCCGGTACTAGGACGGGATAGCCATTCAGTGCTTTCTTGTTTCCAGCGACTGCCTAACTACAATCAGTCCGTAAAGTAAACCACAGAATATCTCTGCTTAATCATGATAGAACACTCAGTCGTTGCATGAATTATCTGCTATTATGAAAATCTCAATTTTAATGCATAATATGTGAATCGTTAAAACTATGCTGTGATTGTACTACACTACTAAAATGCTTCTAATTTCGAAGAGATTTTAACTGTAACCTGTGATCAACAGGAGCGTATTACACAAAGTCTTTTAGAAATTGTAAAAGTAGATTATTTCCGGTAACTTCGTATGTCGACGGGATCTCTACAAAATTATGTCGTAACTATGCCGCTTATTCCTGAATGTAAAACCTTGTTCTTTCTAGTGGTTTATTTCCTCTTTAAAACCTAATTAGTTGTTGAATCATTATGGAGAATGGTAGAGAAAAAAGCACTGGTATAAGATACAACTCAGAAAGAAAGAAAGAATCGTTATGGCGAATTCTTATTTATTTTAAAAATCTACTTCATCGATAACTAAAACACTTATAAATATTACATATTGCGTAAATTATTCTTTCTGTGACGAGAACCATACCTGACATTTTTGTATGCAAATAAATGTAACTAAGGGTTCTTTTTTATTTCATGAACTCTATACAATTCACAGTTGATTTTTCTCACTAGTAAACAACTTTTCTTTGCCAAACTAATTTTAATAATAATGTTATTGAGATATATTCAATGTCCGCAGTAGAAGGTCGACAAGAAATAGTTCACTTATGTTTGACAACATACAACCTTATCCAGTATATATTTTGATCTATGACACTGTGTGGTCTCAGTGATCTTCATGTATAATTTATGTTTGTGTTGAGGTAATGATTGAACAAACACTTATCCTTCGAATTAGTTGAAAATGTATTACATATGAAAAATAATGTTTGACCAGTCTCGGAGATTGATATTCGAATAATTCTAACATTCCATTGGGCAAACTGATTCGAGATTCTTTAGGGATTTTTCGGATATGAATTTTACGCTTTAGCGTCTAATTTATGTCAAAATATTCGTTCAAATTGTGATGGGTGTTCATATGAAAATATTATGATACATTTTTGATATCTCAACGAGTGGATATTAGAGTTGTTTAGGTTTTGCAGCTTAATTTGAACTGTTTCTTCAAAGTCAGTAAATAAATGACCAAAATAAAATGAACAGAAATTTAGGTAGAATATCTTTGTCAATTTGATTTTGGTTATTCATTTATTTACTCTGTAAAGGCAACTTAAATTAAATCAAAACACATCTGAGAGTCTGCTTTTTACTCATTGGGGTATCATAATTATTTTATCATCAACGTTCTATTCAAAATCTAGCTGATTGGAAAGTATCAAGTCAACTCTTGGCAGTAATACTAGCAGACTCATTACCAAATTAAATGTTCCTATAGTTAAAAACGTGTTTAAAAAGTTGTATTTTTACTAAATAACAATTTTCCGAACTTTCAGGACAGGTGTTGTTATCTGATACTCTTGCAACTCGTTTAGACGTAGTAAATTGCGGATAGCAACAGTATTTGTTTTGATTTGTGTTATTTAGTGCAATGTACTCGGTTGTACTAAATGGAATCCTTTTAATCAATAATTTATCTGTAAGAACTGAATAATCAATATTTAACACAGAAAACCTATATTCACATTACTGAAATCTATCCAAGAAATTTTCTTAGTCGAAATCACATCATAATTTCGAATAAGTGGAAACAAAGGCTTTTTGACTTTTCTAGAATTTTTTAAGAAAATAAAGGTAATACGCTTTTGTCTTTTATGTTATTGAAATTATATTGAACAATTGAGTCTTAGTACTTTCATCACACAATCTACAGACCACACATATTCCTACTTGATTGAATCTCTTATTAGAATAGTAGAAAACCAGATAAGTGGTTACAAGTAAAGTTGATTAATTCTTCTCATAATTCACGTGATCCTGTAAATAAAATCACTGACCATACGATACCACGATTTATGGACCTAAATAGGTACATAAGTGGAACATAGAATTTATAAGAGACAAAGCAATAACTAATGACTTAAAATATATCATACATTAAATACAATAGAAATATACCACTAAACAATTATTTAATAAATAATATATTTGAAAAGTATACAAAATATTTCGTCAAAGAATTATCATGATAATTTCACTTTTACCCTATTTCTACTTTCGTGCAATAAAATAGTTACTTACTTTCATATTATGTTTGTGGTTATTTTGCTGATATAAAATGTTCAAACTATTTCCTGTGATTAGTTCGTCAGTAGTTGTTGACCTGTTGTATTTGATATCATTAAGTAAATCACTTGATGAATATGTTCCATTAATTCGTGATTTATTATTTCGACTTGGACTAATACTATTAATAATACTAATGTTAGTGTTAGGATTCCTCATGAGTGATGTAGTAGTAGTGGCACCAATAGCTGTAGCACTAGGTGGACGGGTTATAGCATATTTAGATCTTTCTACATGGATATTTGTATTATTACGTGGGTGTCGTGATTTATTACTATTTATTATATCGACTGCACCACTTGAATCACTTGTATCAAATGTATATGGAGATGCGCTGAATGAAAATTAAAAATAAGAGGAAGTTAATCTAACATTCACTGAATAATTTTGTGTAAATTATGAAGTATAGGTTTATGCGCTCAAACTTTAGCCACACTGTTTAATGGATAGCTAGTAGAAACTAATCAGCTGCTAAAACAGAAATAAACGGACTGAGTTTGAACTGAAGACTAACTAGTTCAAAGGTGAATACTTAAACGCTTTTGACACTTATTCACAAACATAGCATATAGCAAGGTTGGACACATTTCAAATTATTATAGTGTAAAATTGATTTTCACGACAGTTTTCTCGCACTTAAATCAATTGAAAATCTTTTAAAAGTGAAAATAGGGTTTACTATATATAATTGTTTAGCTCTTAGTTTGAAGCATATCGGTAAGGAAAAAAACACTGATTTTAAGAGTCAGAAACCTCATGTAAAGTAAGTTTACACTAAATGGTAAACAGATGAAAACTGAACAGACGGATTCTTACTGATATTTTAAATAACAGAAATTTATGTAAAACACTTTACAAATAAAACAAACGGTAAAAGCTGATTTGAATGAACTAGAAAGCCAAAAAAGTTAAAATAGCATTTATCAATTGTTTCTTCAAAAGTCCTGGTAAATGTAGATTAGAACAAAAAGGATGACGCAGTACATAATGTACAAGAAAACAATTAAAATGGAAATGTAGCTACTAGTTAGTGATCGTAGAATCTTGTAATAAAGTCATTCTAATGAAGGCCATTCACACTAAAATTTATAAAGTTAGGGCTTACAAACTGTTGGGATATTCGGGAAAATATCCCAAAAATTATCCTGTTAAGCCTAATGCTATCCTTGGACATGAAATGGTATCATCTTATTGGTCAATATTTGTATTGGGGTCAATTGATGAACTATCGATTAAATGCGCAAATAGGTCAATTAATGAACTCATTGATTAATGTTTAAAAATTTTCTATGACAATATCGATTGTAAATAATTGTATAAATACTCTTGACTTGTATGCTTGATCTGATCTGCCTGCCTGACTTGTTATCTGCTGTTTGTCTGTAGAATACACTTTCTACACCTTACCCAGACTTCTTGATCGAGTTAGCAGAGTTGGGGACAACGAACCAGAATAGCTATCGAGTCGCTGAATCATTGATCCTTCGTTCGTTCGAGTAAGACGCATCAGTAATAGAATTCAAGCAATAACGAAACATAACACAAACATTTTGTTATCTTAAGTAATCAAGCGAGATGTTATGCACATTTAGCATTGTCAATCTTATGCTTTGACATCGTTCACAAAACTTGACACAGTCCTGATCCTGAAAAAATGTGAGGAATTTCGAATACCTTAACTGAATATACAAGAATGCGTGGAATATTTCCTATCTGAATGCAGAAATTCCCTTAAAAAAGTCAATACTTAGTTAAACAATGTGAAATGAAGTAATGCGTTGGACTGACCACTACATTTTCTCCAGAGAGTGTATGTTTTACTGACTCAGTAAGAATAATTTTGACTGGACAATACACCTTATCGAAGAATGCTCGTAACATCAGTCGAATAGAATTATTTATTAAGAAACTTATTTCGCTGAAACCAAGTCGATGTGAGCTGGTTTAAGAGAATTCCTAGTTTACAAAGTATCCGCTATTTGATAATTGTCTGACCTGATCGAAACTATGTAGAGCTTTAAATAGGATGCGATCAAGTTGCTATGCTTTAAAAAATTACAAAAGTTTTGGCATATATAACAGAAACCTATACTATATGATATTACTGTATTCAATATTTTTAAGTGCAATGTTTATTTATCGTTTTATAAAATATTTGATTGATGCCAATCGATCGTTGGTAATGTGACTATTTACTAGTTATTTACAGCCTCATAAATAAACTAACTGGTATCGCTTTACTACGAAACTTGTATATTTAATGATCAGGACTTCAGCTATACTTAGTACATAAAATTAAACAAGATAACTGGATCATTGAGTTGAAAATTTTTTTGTGAACTATATACTTTAAAATCGAACGGGATACTTGATTTTTACATACAACACAACCTAATATTTGATCGACAATCCTAAATATATGACAGTGTACTTGAATATTATTAAATTTTGTGAAGATATAATTTGATAAACTTTGAGTGATTATTTGCATTGTAATAGTTATAGACAGAAAGTAGGATAAATTCTCAATTTAATTATTAAAACTCTACTTACCTGAAAGGTCTATTTATATGCTGTTGTACTTGTTCATCAACTGGTTCTAGATCACAAGAACGATTGAGACTGTAGGTATAAAATAAATAATCAGTGAATAAACAAATTAGGAGAATATCTTCACTACAATCAGAATGAATAAAAAGAGGTATAAGAGAGAAATAACAGGTTATTTGCATTTCGGAGACCTCACTTGTGCCAGATAGGAAATGATCGACTTAGTTATGGATTCAACCTTTAAATGTTAGATGGTTGGTAGTAACTGATAGTAAATCATAAAATTAAGCCTGGGTTTAGTTGGCACACATTGACAAGATATTTTTGCACTCTCGAGGTAACTGAAACTATTCCAAACGTCTTAACTAAAATTGATCAGCTCTGACATAAAAAACGTTTTAAAAACTACTGATTACGAATGTTGGATTATCGAGGGGGCTTTAAGTGAAGATAAGTTTCAAAATAAAACGACTTGAAGGAGGTTTCAGCATCAACTGTTTAGAACCTGGTAACAGTAGGGAGTCATCTCACTCTAGTATGAAACTTCTTGGTCTTGAGAATTCATAACAACACCTGATACCATAGTTTCACAATGAGCAAGATTTCTTCAAATTGAGTCATTCTGAGATATAGCACATTTTCACTCAATGTCAATGCCCAAAATCATCCACACTATCTCTGATTTTCCATAGTGCTTTAAATGGAATAAGTCCATAGTGAGAGATTTTTAAAATTAACAAAAAATCCAAAAGATAACCATATATCCTCATGATATACTGATTGTAAGTGAAAATTATTGTAGTCTGTTCTACAATAACGCTAATATCGATAAAAAATGACAATAAAAATAACTGATGGGATAAACTTACGCTTCATTTTCTGAGATTAATGGATAAGAATGAAACCATGTAATAAAATCTGGTTCAGGTCTAAGTGAATAAAATTGGGCATTTTGTTGAAGAAGAAAAATATTTGCTAGAATTCTAAACTCTCGACGATGTTTATCCAGATTGATTAATTTGTCATCAGCACTATCAGTTGTAGAATGACGTCTAGAAAGGCCAAACTTTTCCTTCTATAAAAATTATAACAAACTAAAATTTGTAAATAAAATGCAGACATATATATTCATCAATTAAGCTAATAAATTTTGATCACATATTACATGATGTATAATGCCAACTATCACGAAACCTGGATCCAGAGTTTTAAGCTAACTACCTCCAAGTAATTAAATAACATGTTGAACATTCTCTTTAAATAAATGAATGTTAAACAAGGCTTTTTAAAAGCATCTTATGATTTCATCGATAAAATCCAACTCAGTGATTAATGATAGGCTTATGTACACGACTTTATGGAACGGTCAATAATAATCCTGTTCGGTTGAATAAACCAAGGTAGGTGTACAGTTCTGATATAAGACCCAGTCTTTAGAAATCGAGTAATTTAACAATCAAACATTCTTTGAACAGTGATTCGAATGACAGACGTTTCAACCCTTAATTAAATCTTAAACGAGGTTTACTAATCCATTTAGTGTTATATAACAGCTAGCGCTTCTCAAGCTCCAACTATGTTATAAAATACGGAACTGGGAATTTAATTTTTATCACGATGAACATAATTATTTTATCAAGTCATGTAACTCTAATCACGTACGTGTTCATGCTTGAGGTCACAATTGTATTCATGAATGCTGACACTACTAATAGCTAACAAGTGAGTCTAGGTACCATTTAGCTGGGCTCAATGTGTGATACAGTAATAAAAAAAACTATGTCCTCAAATAATTATGCTAAGACTTTATTTCTCGAATGTTTTAAACTGATCGGAGATTAGTGTTCATCTAGTAAAAACTTTTAGTTATGACGATGAGCCCTTGACCTTGAAACTAATGAGTCGGAAACCAATAATTTCAACCAACTGGTGATGCTACGTGACAGTCCTTCGTCGCCCGTAGAGGATAAGTGTCTCACATTTGACTTGGTTAAACTCCAATAGTCCCAGCTTCTCACTAGAACTCCTGGAACTGTCACTTAAAGTTAGTGACTAGTGAGCACATTATTATCGCTAAAAGTCTTTATGGAGATTTTTGAATTTTCATAGTTTACATCATGGATTATTAACTGAATAGTTAACAATATTATTACAAAATTTTGCTGTTCAGGGTAAAAATATTTATTTTAAATGTAGACAGCTTTTATGAAATGATTGTTGTCACACAAGATTATCATCAGTGGATAAACAATTATGTTAAGTTGACTAGGCACACAAAAAATAGAAGGTTAATAAACATAACTGATGTTTAGAATTTGAATCCCAACTAGGTTAAATTGCCTATAGTTTCAATTACGGACAGATCTTTGCTAGACCAGGACTGAAGACCTGGAAGCATTGGACAGTCGTTTCGTTGTAGTGTGGGACTCCTCAGTAGTGCCCATCCGGAAACCAAACTTAGGACCCTCGGTCTCGCATTCGAACGTTTATTCTTTAGATCATTAGGCCAACATCCAACAGCTTTCATGTTTAACTTTGATCAATTCATTATATTTAGCAACACTCATCTATCTCATGTCATGTCATTTAGCTTCTATGTTTCAGGAATTTACGATTAAAAGTATCCTCATTACAGTCTAAACGATAGGACTAAATAAAAACAAAAAACAAAGCTTTCTAACATTCCTATGTTTATCCGGAGGAAATCTTCACGATTAGGCATTTGCCTGTAAGAGTCATTCAAAATTTGTCCATAAACTGTAGTTACACCCACAAGTAAATCATAAAAGTTAACATAAGGAAACAATATATGTTTATAGTCTAACATAGTATGTCTTATATCATGAAAATACTTCCGTTGCACGAAAACCTGATTGTTTTTAAGATGCTACCTTGATCCTTAAGCTTATTGATGAATATACGTTAGCTACTGTATGAAATCTTAGTACTTTTATTACGTAGCAAAAGATAAAAACAAAGGATATGAGAACATCATGACTATCACATGAATAATCATTTTATCAAGACAGATACTAATCCAGATGAGAGTAAGGAGATATTTCATTGAGAAAAGCACCACTATACTGGAGAAAATATTGATAAATCTCTTTGGATTATTTGTTTTTAATTCTAGCTACTCATTTTGTCTTATCAACAGTCATATGATTGTTTATGTCACTACACATATACGTAAGGAGATGATCCTTTGAAAACTTAATACTTCTTAATAAAATTATCAGAATGAAGCAGAATAAATAGTAACGCAATGATAAATATCTAAAAGAAAATATTAGTGCAGTTAGGCAGATTGAATCACATGAGTGATTTATTCTGTTACAGTTTGAGAAAAAAAGATTACATTATTGATTTATCATAAAAAACACACAAACTGAAGCTGTTTAGTGAAGATAAGGAAAGGGATAGATAAAGTATTATTACAGTGTAATTGAAGTTGGATGATCAACAATAGTTATTTCCATAGGTATACATTGATAAGAATGCGTGAAGTTCTTGTGATTTTCAAATATCGGTAATACAAAACTAATAGTTTCACGGTTTTTGGACAGGTTATGTGCTGACGACGTGAACGAGGGCGACAATGAGACAGTTTAATACAGCGTAAGATATGAACTGAAGGTAATACTATGATGAATGATAACTACTCAAGAGAGTATTGAGTGGTACAAGTAACAGCAAAATATGTTGTTGAAATGAGAAAAATATTGTCGATACGATACTAGAATAGATAACCGACTGGTAGGTAAGAACATAAACACACTAACAATATATATCATGATACTTGATAGTTAGATCACGCGATACACAGATACACAATTCAGACCAACAATTGAGAACCGAACTATACGTCAAAGAATAGTTTAATTTAAACACACAATAGCAAATCATGGCTCATTTTCACCTGAGGCATCAGGAATTAAGATTCGTGTGGATCTTTATTGTTAATTGATGACACTGTTGAAACTTAATCGCTGCCAATTACTTAAATAAGGACTACTAGTACAACTAGTTTTGTTCACCTTTTTCTTTTATTACATAGCACAAGCAAATCTCTCTAGAATGCATTTGATTACAATGCTAAATGATTAGTGAGACTACTCAATTACGTAAACGGAGGTAAGTGGAATGAGGTTCCAACTTGTGAATTAGCGGCTTAAAGTCAAACGCAAAAACATTTGAGCCACCGTTCCATGAAACAATGACTTGTTTAATTTAATCGACTAGTTGAAATTCAAGATCAAGACGGTGATTGATACATCAAACAATACTTTACTTCAAATAAAATATCTGACCAGTATTGAGAAATTTCCAAACAAATTACGAAATTGCACGTAACAATGATGATTTTGAAGTATCCATTGCATTCTTTTAATGACTAATCAAGTATTTTATGTTATTATTATCATTATCGACATCATTACTATAAGATCAAATCGTTTATACTCATGTGACACACGTGAGTGATGTCTCACAATGAGACAATCTGATTGGAAATAACCGTTGATCATTAACCTACTGAAAAGTTATACTACATAAAAAACACTACCCAAAAAAGAAGAATAGTGACGTATCAGTAAAAATGATATTTAAAACGTAGATCAATAATACGAAATTAATGATTGATCCCGTTTTACCGAAGACAACCCCGTAAAAGTAGTCATAGTCAGTATTTAGATATTTGAGAAAAAAAAACATTTTCATGATGGACTTTTGATCTTAACAGATAAATTTTAATGAATTAGTGAACAGTCCATATATAAGTTAGCATTAGTGATATCGATTTTCTTCTATTACAGGAATACAAAAATATTAGATTGTTAGTTTAGTTTGAATTTTAAAACAATATTAATTCAAGGGACTAAATTGTTCTCACTAAGTGTGAACTACGTAGTGATATTAGCAATTGATTGGACGTAAATGAATGCTATACACAACTGATTAAAATTTCTGATTAATGACCAGTCAGTTATAATCAACAAAAATGCCTGACACATATGCTATTTGGTCCAAGTTGTCACATCGTATTACGAAAGTGAGACTAGATTAACAATATGAATATCAGGGTAGTAGTAGTATCATCTCCTCTTGAAACCCTATTACGGTTACTGTCCGGATGACAGATGAGAGTTGGGCATAGAGTGATAACTGCATCCTATAGAAAAGAACCCTGCTAAGAAACGCTAGGCAGTAGTAGCATAAATGGTTATAAAAAGAATGGGTATAGAGAATTAGTTTCGGAAAAAACGAGTGAATCTGTAGAATACAAAGTAAAAAATACCTTCGAAGCTCAGGTTTTGAGGACCGATTCTAACCAAAGGTTCCTGGTTGTGGTAATCGTGTCGAATATAAAGAGGTGGTCTAAACTTGATCATATGCCTCAAACAAACAATAAACGACTTATTGTATCTATTACATGTCTGTGTTCAGGCGCGACTAGCTTTCTTCCAATCTACTCCTACACCAGTTGGTCATCATCATACTTCGAGGTAGGGTGTGAATGACCATACATATTATACGTCATAACCACCTCAATTGGTGAGGATTCACGATCTTGCCAAGCACTTTGCTATTTGTGTCCAATAATCGAAGTTTAAATTTAATACTGACTGGTGGATCCTGTGGTGTATGCTACTTATGTCGACAAACATAAGTAGTATGTAACACCAATCAGAAGTGGAAACACTGGTACCAGAAGGCTAAGAAAATCAAGTTGAAGAGAGTAGAAAGGAATTGCGAATAGGAAGAACCACACAGAATTCGATGGACAAATAATGGAAATTCGCAAATGAAGTATTCATTGTATGGTTCTCATATTTTACCAAGACATTCTGGGATTTTGTAGTAAAAATACATTTGGATGTCTCCATCTGAGTATTCGTTAATTACAGTCCTAATACACACATGTAATTTTTATAAGACATTTGTGATAAAAAATTGTAACCCAGGAAAGTCCTTTACTTATAAAGATCAACCATCGGTTCCTGTCTCCGTCACAGAGGCCAAATCAGGTCAAAGCTGTAGAAATAAAACTAAAAAATTCCAACGTGAACTAGTAAATGATGGATACTACTGAACAGCATAAGTATTTGCCCCTCATTTATATTCATTACCAGTACACTTAACGTGCAAAATTAAAGAACAACAAATAAGCCATACTATAGTATAGATTTAAAGAAAAATGAATAACACGATGGTTTGGTGAAGTGGTTGCTTGTCGGTCTAAGAATACAACAACCAATAGTAAGGGGATAAATTGATATCTATATGATTCCCTAAAAGATGGTTAGTATGACAAGTTATCCACGTTGCATTCATTTTATTGATTACATGCCATTTCAAAACTAAATCACGTAAATCAATCAGAGGAATATATTTTGGACGAAATCGATAACAGTAATGACAGTGATAATAATCATTATCATTAAATTATAATTTAAATTCTTTTGCCCAAGCAAAAGAACAACAAATTAATCTCCATAACAATTTGTGAAATTACATTTACCTTGACACGCCCATTTAATTGGATATTATCATTACGATCAGCAGAAACTGATGGTTTAATAGGTGGGACATTTGTATTTGATGATACATTTTTTAATAATTTCCAGGATTGTTTCGTACTGTTATTATCTGATTGTACGGTTGATGACGATGCTATTACTGCTGATAAATCAGGTGTACTTCGGGTGAAATTCCCAAGTTGATCTGATATATGCAACAGCTTTATTTTACCATACTGATTTTTAACTGATTGTTTTGAAAAATCATTAGTATTATTTATTGGATTGATTACTGATGAATTAATATTATTATTGTTATTATTATCATCAGTAGTAGTAGTAGTAGAAGCGAGGGCACTTTCCTGATTATTTGTAATAATTTCTTGTTTAGTCTCATTTGATGGGGAATATTTTGATCGACTGATATAATCCGGTGACGAATGATGCAATAAAGTTAAATCACTAAGAAATACACCGAGATACGGTATGACACCACTTAAATAAGATGACTGATTTGGCTGAAAATGTAAAGATTAAAAATACACAAACAAATAAAAAGTAATTTGACGTTAATGTTAGTGCGCAAATATGCCAAGGTAGAAGTTATGGTCAGAAATTAGTCATGTAAGTTAAGCATTTGCTTAGTGGTTAAAACAGGTAACTTTAAATTATCGTTGTTACAGTCTTCAACAAATCTTATGCCCATTCGATTTAGGAAAGTGGGTATTATCACTACAGCTTCCTTGAAAAAATATAACACATTACGGAGTACCTGTATATGTAACTGGTAATGAGTTGTAAATTTTGAGAGGAAAATCCCAATAAACAATGCAAAGTTTAAGGTACATGGATAAAAAATATACCAGTGTTTTGCAGATGGATAGCTATAATTTGTCTTTAAAAGCCAAAAATGAACGCAACACCACAAATTTCAGACGCGACATAGCTAAAGAAATTATATTTAGGACGTGCGTTTTTTCCTACTTAGAATTCAGATGAAGGCACCTGCAACCGAACGTAGGCATAGAAACCAAGACTCATACCTAATACCATTCATTACAAAAACTAGTGCGTTATCCATTGGAACACAGAGTCCAGAGAGCCAATAGCATACTGAAAAGGTACGATATTTACAACAGCAGAATAACAAACCATTACCAACAGTATGAATCATAATTTTTAAATTACGAGGTTTGTCAGACACGGTAAATAAAAAAACATCTCCAACTATAAAAGGAAAACTGTTCAATACATCTTGATTTCCAATGATATCAATCTGTGATTGGAGATTTATTTAGAAATGATATAAACATTCGACATGATACATTTACACGAGGTACATGAATTGATCACTCACTAAAGTTGAATGCTTAGTCCTCTTGCTATATTCTGCATCAGAATCTTCAAATTGTGAGATATCACCAGGTCTGCTTATGTCTCCCTAAAAAGCAGAAGCAAAAAATGAGCAAAGTATAACGAATATAAAATACTTAAATTAAATAGTAGTAATTAATACATTAGAGATAGTAATAAAAGCATATGATAGAAACAAGATATAAAATAGAAGCATACCAAGACTTTAAAGTAGAAGATATGCAGTAAATACTATGTTTACTTCGCTTTGGTAACAGATACATCCATTCTGTACTGATTAGGAAACGTCAATAGACTATGCCCTCAATCCTACAGGAAATAATACTGCCAAAGAGATTTAGACCTGCGTCATCCAATGAAACAATTAAGGACGTCATTTGTGAGTTTTATAGGTTATGAATTATCTGTCATTTTGGCATTACGATTGGATACTAACCGATGTTTTACTGCTTACTCCCTAGTTCTGAGTGAATTCAATTAATCAAATTTTCTGTATGAGCAATAAACTAAATGGCTCGAAATCATTGTGTACTTTTTTGGATGTTAGATAGCAAGCGAGTAGTGTTTGCAACCTCGAAAAAACAGTTACTCAGCTCATTTTTCTTGAGTTAAATTTTGAGTATGATTATCTAATTTTAATTTCTGTCTGAACATTTTATTTTCCACTTTTTCCAGAATCATTAATTATATTGTATGAATCACCGACCAACTTTGATTGTATTGGTGTAATTTTATTGGAACGTTGTGCTCTTTTACGTAGAATAATTTAAAAGGAGCTCATTTGTAACTGATCAACTGATGAATAGAGACCAAGGTCATGCTTATTTGGTCCTTTAGTGCTAATCAAATAATATCAATCAAGTCCCAATGTAACCAGTAGTTTAATTGACTCGATATCGCGTGTGTTATATTGAAATGTCAGGTGTTTAAAGGCGGCCGACAAGAAACCCTAGACTTAGGTTTTTTGTTGGTTGGCGTTCGTCAGTAAGGTGTAGCTGTATTCTTTAAGGAACTGTTTCTCCCTGATGGATTCAAATCTGCACCACCTAGCTTCACGATCCGAAACGTTACTATTAAGGTATACTGGCTGCAACTGATCTGTAGAACTAAGATATTTACAATTGATTAACTAGTAAATAGTGATCAATTTGAGTCTATTGTAACTTAAGGATTTCTGCTGAAGTTGATAAAAAGTAAGAAAAGGAAATGAGTTCGTTAATTTTATACATTAACAAGCTTATTGTTAGTGGTTTGTTAGAAATTTATGAAATACTTTAAAATTATATTGACTGAAACCATTTCATTATGTAATTTTAACGAGAAAGTCGGTAGGTGCGTATCAAAAGTAAATCATATTAAATAAACCAAAAGAAAAGACGCAATATAAAAGATATGATAGTTTGGGAGAATCAAAAAGAACAATAAGTCAGCAAATTATGGAGTTCAGTAGATGAATAAATCATGGATCTGTTCAGAATCTCTTAGTGGTTGATATATATAAGATACTGGTCAATTTTAATCTATTCGTCAAATTTTTACTGGTATTTTTTATGTAAACTTACCTGTACTCAAATAATCTATGCATAATACCAGAACATCACGAAACTTCTGATAGCCAACACGGTGTACTACGAAGTCAAATTACTTATTTCAGCGGAAACACTGCAAACTAGTCGATAAATCCTATTGCTATTAAAGACTAGAAACAGTATGACATCAGATACTAGTCGGTGATGATAACATGGTTAGAAATTCGGTCGGAAAACGAATAACTTAATTGTAACATGTTTAACTAAGCCACCATGTATTGTGTTTCAAATTTTCCCGAGCACATTAGTCTCTTCAATTTTGAAGAGTACAAACCCTGCAGAGAACATAGATCCAGGGCTTTGTGTCAGTGGGCTCTAAGAATTAGCTGTGAACAAAAAGGATTCAAAGCAGTAATTTTCATTGAACATATGTAGAAAAACACAGGTTATATCCTAATGATTACAATTTTACCATATTTAAACCAAACAACCAATTGAATATCATGGAAAGTTCTATTACAATACAATCATTCAACTCTGCCTAACAATAGCTTTTAAATAAATGAAAAAAATAACAATACCGATTAAAAAGGAAACACAAACAGATGGCTTAAAAGTACATTTGAAATTTCAAGAAACATAAACATAGAGGAAAAACATACTGAAATAAATAACGATGGCTTTACTAAAAACTATTGACTGAAGTGATTATTATCACATGTTTGTTTGACAAAACAGAATAATGTATTAATAGATGTTTATTTTTATTTATCAACAGACAAATATATCTGTTGTATTCATTGTTTTTGGAAGGTCATATATAGAGTGACTTTCGGATAGGACTGTAAGAAGATTCAAATAAAAATTCACTTTAAACTGAATGTGGTAGTTGCTACGTTTGAAGAGATTGAGATATCACTTAAAACAGGCGAACGAAACGAAGGTTAGTAGCACAACAACAGGACAAGTTAAACTATTTCATTGCATCCCAGCCCTGCTAACTAGAGAGAGAAGACCAAATTCAGCCGAGGGAAATGTATATTCTACAGGTAGCCCGGAAGCACGGACGAACAAGCACACAACACATGCGTATATATATATATATGTATATAGTACAAAAATTTCATTGGAAAACGTCACAAAATAGAGTACTAAGAGAGGAAATGAACCACTAACATTTTAGGTCCTCCCAAGCGGAAAATACAAACTGAAGGTAAAAGTGGGCGCTTTTGGAGTGAAAAAGAGAAATTCAAGACTTCAAAATAAATGAGACGTTTGTCAAGTGATTTTTGGGGATCTAGTATCCCCAAGAGTAGTGTTGATTTCTAATCATATATGTACCATTTGGTTGCATATGATTTTATAAACGATACATATAAGTGAACAATATTGTTTTCAAATTGATTGTTGTCAGGCTTTACTCTAATATACATGAATACTTATAGGGGTATATGAAAACATTAAAACACCTGTCTTCTTAATATCAATTTGTACTTTATACCTAATATGTGTGGCTATGCAATCTCATAAATTGTCATGATTGATATAATAATCTCATATACTGGAAGCTTAAACTTTACAAACTAAATTTATGTACTATGATAATGAAACTGTTTCTCATAAAAATCTGTCTACGCAGAGCCAGCATCAATATTTTGTCTGCATTACAACAATCGTCAATATTGTACACTTCACCTTTTATAGTTGAACACATCTTATGAAATTATCAAATGTAGTTCAATTTGGTAATATGCCACGTTAGTTTTCATTACACCAGGACTAATTCTGCCTATGGACGTAACAATTCATTGAAGGTATTCAGAAAAATGGACTTTATTACTACCTTTAAAAAGTCATCGCCAAGAATGTATTCAGGCAAACCTTTATGAATAACATGTAAGTAAATAGAACGTAAATAAATGGAACGCATGAGCCATACATCTAAATCCTGACCTTTAAATGCTAAAGTTTGATTTGAATAATTTGTATATTATATATATATCAAACTATTCATGGGGGAACTTCAGTTAAAATGTAAATATATCATCATTTACTTCAATACTGATGTATAGTACAAACCACTCACATAACGCACTTCTGGCTTTTTAAAACTAGCAAATAATTACTCAAAATATTATAATCTTGAGCGAATGCATCTGATGGCATACAATATAGTTACGCAATAAACGACTGTTGAAAATATTCTAGAAAAATCATATTCTTGAGTTCGGAAATGTAAATTCTTATTGTTAATGTGCAACTTTGCATTTTGTTTCCCAAGATTATTTACATACGAAAAATACAAAAGGCTAACACAGCAACGTTTATCTTCTTACGGTCAGTTCAATATCTTTTACAAAATACTAGTATTTTTTTATTCGAAAATTCGTTAACAACACTTTAAGCGTCGTAAACCTGTATATGTTTGGTACCAATTACGTTTGTTGAATTAGTGTTCTGCCTCTAACATATTAACTGTGAGGAGATTATCAAAAAATGATTCTACAAAACTTACACATAATGGATTTGGATTGTTGAGTTTTAAGTACCAATACATTTTGTTCGCACACTGTATCAGAATACAAAAAAAGGAACACAGTGAATAAATAAGTTTTTTGTCCTAAAAATTAGATAATTTATTCAAATACGTAGATAGATTTACACAAGCATATATAGTGAGAAGTGAGTCAGGAGAAACGGAATATTTATGCAGTTGGAAGTAATTTATTTGAGTAAAAGTGGATTTCTTATAGTCTTATTGATCATTATTGAATCAAATAAAACTTGACGATTTCTTTTAAAACCCAATATCAGTTGATTGGCGGAAAAAATTAGAATATATTACGTATATGTTCAAAACTATCTTCTCAAAAAAAATTGAGAACTTTAAATCACGAAATCAGACAACCAAAATGTGAATTATAAGACCAAAGTGCAACAAATAATACTTCCAAGTATCTCTAAGTCATGACACAATAATGCTCCTTTGACCAACCAAATATAATGAAACGATAATGATAGGTACATATCTAGATATCAATTGAACAATATTTGCTTACTAGTGACTATGTTCAGGAGTAAATTTCCGGAGTCGTAACCAGTGCAGCTAATCCATGTGTGGTGTGAGGTAACTACTTATTGAAGACAATGTCATGGATTGATTAAAGTTAGACATTAACACCATAGGATGTCGGCCCAGTGGCTAAGCGTTCGCACGCAAGATCGAAGGTTCTGGGTATGAGTTATGAGCGTGAGATGGTGGATACATATTGTTTAGGAGTCCCATACTAGGACGAAATGGCTGTTCAGTATACTACTGAGGTTTTAGTGGTGGATCGGTTCATGATTTCAACGAAATTCAACCATCTCCACAACCCCATACTGACGATATTATAAACTGGTAAGGATAAAAACGTGTATCTAATGGTTTGGCTGTAATTTTAAATGGAGCCTACAGAACTTATGTTTCATTACCAGAAAAACATGGATTATTTACCAATGCATCAGTGAAATAGAAATTTAAACAGTTGGTCGCTATTGGGCGACTAATTCACTGATCCATTAACTTAATCGAAAAACTCAAGTGGCAAGCATATCATGAAAGATAACCATAATATCTACGCTCTCAAACTTCTATAAATGAAAAAAGACTTGGACCTCCAATTTAATGACAGCTAAGTGACTAAAGCAATCGATACTTATTTTGAATAAAATTAAACATATCCTCCCTAGCGTTGTATTGTTGATAACATAATATAAAAATAACAGTCATCATTACTGTTATCATGATCAAGAGTTCCAGTACATAACTAGATTGGAAATATTTGAATATTCCACAGTATTGGTCGTTCAAACTATAATGTGAATTGTATATCCATGTGATGGTTGGAATCATTTTAGAATCTATATTACATAAGCCTATGGAAGTTATGTACTTCATGTAAGCAATCACACAAAACATTTAAGTGAATCAGGCAAAGTGGAGTATGAGTTACTAATTCACATCTACATTATGAGTGACGACAATCAACGAGAAACGGAGTGTAATAAATAGCACACTTTTCATGAAGATCAACAGTTTGAATGTAAATAATAACTATTACACAATAGATTAAAAACTAATCAATGGTTTCAAGAAAAATGACTAAGATTTCCTTGCACAACTTCCTCGTACAATATTGGTTTTTACACAGTTGATGTAAGATGGATCTCTCGCCTTCGTAAAAACCTAAAGCTTCGAAGTCATCATAAACGTCAGCTAATTTTAGGTAAAAGAACGATCAGTTACTCCACGTTATACTTATGAATAGTCACTTTACATTATCAAACAGTGTTTTCGATCCCCTCATAACAAAACTTTTCTAAAATGTGAGTTTTCGTTAAAGATAATAAGAAAAAACTATTCGAAGACCTGAGGAATCTATGATATTAGATAAAAGATGGATTTAACCCAGAACATTATTGGATTTTTCAATTCTTGATTACTGACTGTTTAATACTGGGGAAATATTTTCATTTTTACTGACTTCCATATACCCAATTTGAAGGGTGTAGACATTGATATTATTACTACTTGTAGTAACATCAGTTAACAGAACACAAGTAAGACTATTGGTGAATTCATACACATATACCGTTTACTGTTTCTCTTTTTGAGTTAGATAATTTTGATTTTCTATATAGTGAAACGTGCAGAAGACAATAATTGCTGACACTGATGTTTGCATTGTGCTTCTTAACAAATGAGAATTGAGAAGGATCAATAAAGTTTATATGCGCTAGTATTTTTTTGATTATCAAAAGAAATGTTTTACGTCCTTACTTGTAAGTACACAAATAAGCGTCTACTGTGAATAAATGGTATGACAGATATTAATTACGGAGGGAATTCAACTAAAACAGTCAGGAAATCTCTCATATGTAGATCTGTATTCCTATTTTTAAAAGTAAAAAAACAAGAGAACTTAAACAGTATAAACGATTTAAAACCTTATGCGTAGAGTTTCATCTATTTCTATAATCGAAATTGATATACAGAACCAAGATCAACATTCTAATGGCGTTTTACAAAACTTGTTTAATCAATCAATGAAATAAGCAACTACTCAAGTGTTTAGATAACTTTAAATTCTGTTACAGTCCAAATTTTTATTTAATATAGAATACAATTACTAATCATTTAAGGTTTGTAGAACCATTCTAGTTGATTTTCAAGCGGTGTCCACCTTAGTAATAAAAAGATATATGGTTTTCAGTTTGTTTGTATGAGAAATTACAATAACAACAATAACGGTAATAATAATAATATTCTTAATCATCCAAATAGTTACAATAATAAAGCCTACCTTATCTAACCGTTTTCTCAATTGTTCTTGATTATTATCAAAGCTTACTACAGAAGCCAAATATTTAAACTTCATAAAATGTTCATGATAATGACTGAATTCAGGTTTACATAAAAGGGAAAAAATAGGTAGAAAAAATATGCAAGAGGTTGTAGTATACATATAAGTTGATTATCCTAGATCAACAGGTTCCAAACAATATTTATGTATGGTGGGACCACTAATAGAGTAACTTTGAGCATAAATTATACAACTGATGAGACTGAATCTGAATAAAGAAATGGGACTCAGGAAAACCTACTTACTTACTTACGCCTGTTACTCCTCGTGAAGGACAGTAGGCCGCTCACCAGCATTCGCCATACAACCCTGTCCTGGGCAATCCTTTCCAGCTCCTTCCAGTTGTTATTCATCCTTTCCATATCTGCTTCTATTTCCCGACGTAATGTGTTCTTTGGCCTTCCTCTTTTCCGCCTTCCTTCAGGATTCCAAGTTGGGGCTTGCCTCGTGATGCAGTTTGGTGATTTGCGTAGTGTATGTCCTATAAATTTCCAGCGTCTTTTCCTAATTTCCTCTTCAGCAGGAAGCTGGTTTGTTCTCTCCCACAAAAGCTGTTGCTGATGGTATCCGGTCAGTCGATGTTGAGTATCTTGCGTAGACAGCTATTTACAAATAATTGCACCTTCTTGATGATGGTTGTTGTAGTTCTCCAAGTTTCAGCTCCGTACAGTAGAACTGTCTTGACATTCGTATTGAAGATTCTCACTTTGATATTGATTGACAGTTGTTTTGAGTTCCATATGTTCTTCAATTGTAGGAATGCGACCCTTGCTTTGCCAATCCTCGCCTTTACGTCGGCATCTGAACCTCCTTGTCCATCGACGATGCTTCCTAGGTATGTGAAGGACTCTACATCTTCCAGGGTTTCGCCATCAAGAGTGATTGGATTGCTGTTCTCCGCTTTGAATTTGAGGACCTCGGTTTTCCCTTTGTGTATACTGAAGCCTACTGATGCAGAGACTGCTGCTACACTGGCTGTCTTCATCTGCATCTGTTCGTGTGTACGCGATAGGAGGGCTAGGTCATCTGCGAAGTCCAAATCGTCTAATTGATTCTGAGCTGTCCATTGTATTCCGTGTTTTCCTTCAGATGTCGAGGTCTTCATAATCCAGTCGACCACCAGAAGAAAGAGGAAGGGAGAGAGTAAACAGCCTTGTCTGACTCCGGTCCTTACTTGGAATGCATCTGTCAGCTGTCCTCCATGCACGACCTTGCACTGTGGTCTGTCGTATGAGTTCCGGATAATATTGACAATCTTCCCAGGAACTCCGTAGTGTCGAAGAAGTTTCCATAACGTTCTCCTATCCACACTGTCAAATGCCTTTTCATAATCAATGAAGTTGATGCACAGTGACGAGTTCCACTCAATTGATTGTTCAACGATGATCCGTAGTGTCGCAATTTGGTCTGTGCACGACCGATCCTTACGGATTCCAGCTTGTTGATCTCGAAGTTGGGCGTCTACTGCATCTTTCATCCGGTTCAGCAAAACTCTGTTAAAGACTTTTCCTGGTACTGACTGTAGTGTGGTTCCTCTGTAGTTTTCACATTTGCTCAAGTCTCCTTTCTTGGGAATCTTGATGACGTGTCCTTCTTTCCAGTCCATCGGCACTTGTTCCTCTCCCCAAATCTTTTTGAATAGAAGGTGAAGCATGTTTGTAGCTACTTCGATGTCTGACTTCAGTGCTTCAACTGGTATATTGTCGGGTCCTGCTGCTTTCCCGCTCTTGATTTGTCTGATGGCTATTCTGAGTTCTTCCGTCGTTGGTGGATTGACATCTATAGGAAGATCTGTGTTTTTTGCTTCGATGTTCGGTGGATTCATTAGAGCCGGCCTATTCAGGAGTTCCTCGAAGTACTCTACTCATCTGTATTCACTAAAAGTTGGTTTTGGGTTGTGCCCTCTAGGTCCGCTTCGTGAAATGGTAAGAGTTTTGGAATAGGAACTTAAGGCTAACTCATATATATATATATATATATATATATATATATATATAGCAGCTAAATGACTGTGAATTTCTGAAAGATTTTTTTATTCAATTTCGAACCTTAGTATTACAAGGGCTAGTCAAAATACCAGAGTAGCACAAATGAAGTAGGAGCTTGAATGTGAAACTCATTGGTTGAAAATCGAAAACTTTGACATTGGATTATTTTTTTCTAAAATACTTAACTACTAACTTTGTTTTTGGTAATAATTACTACTTATTTATTCTGAGCAAGTGGCTTAAATTAAGTCATGAAACGTCTACTTATTGAAATATAAAAATGTATTTATTATTAACGTTCGTAACGTTCTTATATGAATCATTTATGAGAATAAAAGTATACTAAAATATATTAATAAAGAATATTTGGAACCAGATACCGATTTTATTAATAAGTAATGCAAAGCGAAATGAAACTGTTGAAGAATCATATGAATTAGATTTATCTAGTTGTGAAAATATTAAAGTCGATGAAAAATCACATGACATTAGTATAAAACATGCTAAACCAATAAGATCAACACAGATGTGGAAAAAGTAGAATAACTCAGAGTAATTTGAAAATCTCTATCACTTTCATTAGCATATGCTTGTGAAATAAGAAAAGTATTCAAAGAGCTTTGAAATAAATTTTTCTATAGTTTATCATATACGTAATATGAAAAAGATAAGATATAAGAAGAAACTTTTTTAATATACAAATCTTTTTAACTCACTATTCCAAAACATTCCAACTATGCCATAATCGGAGTACTGGAGTGGACTGCAAAGCCATAATTATGGCTTTTAATGCTGAATAATTCCTTGTTTGTCCTAATCGCTTTAAAAAAAAGAAAAAATAGACATAATGGAAGTTATATTTTATAGGGAAGATGCAAGTCCTAGCCATCAACCTTAAAATATTCAGTATTATTACCCTAGAATTCTGACAAAAGTCGTACATTCATGCAGTACAGGTCTAGAAGAACCAGTAAAACTAACGTAAAATTTGGTGTAAATCTGACATGGACTTCCAAACCACATTATCTATTAAGGTTCTGTGTTAATTTAAATACAAACAAAAGAATGTAATGATGATTAACTGAGTAATTCAACTAGATAGTGATAATTGTTCACATTACCCATTATGATGATGGGTAATGTGAGTCAAATTTGAGTCGAAACTCAGATTACATTGTAGTTGGATAAGTGTTTTAACAACTAAAATACACATATAGGGTTTGTAAATGCACTTCGCAGCACGACAAAACTCTACTTCAATCATTATTTAGGGAATCTAGAAACAGACATTGAATTTATCTTTAGTAAAACAAATGATTAAGTTCTAGCTCTGAAGTGATCTATAGATTAAAGGAACAATTAAAAATTTATGAAGTGGATAATTGATCCTAGTTTAAGCCAGTGTTAATATCCAACTGCTAAACTGAACGGTAACATGCAAACAAGTATATTTGATTGATAACTCTGCTAGTAAGTATCATTTAATAATTTTGTTTCAAAAAGACGTTCGTATAACATGGTGTAAAAACCCTAGTTAACAGATATTTACTTATCTATCCAACAGTTTACTAATTGCCACTGACTTGTTCAACAGATCTCCCATTCAATAGTTTTACTACATGTAGGTGGAGCTCCCAATATGTCTATAATCAGTCACCGCCAATTTAGCTTATTTTAAATGTAATATAGGCATATAGTACAATAAGACCGATAATATATTGAACAATGTATGTTAAAGTAACAACAAGTGAATAAAGCATACCGGAGATAAATGATTTTCACATAAGCTAAAATGGTGATTTATCTCGGAAATAACTTGAGTCACTTTTATTGAGGAAATCACAAAACATCATATTTTTGTTATAAGCAAGAGTTAAGTGAGTTGTTGAATTCCCGAGCTATTACCAGGAATTCAAGTACATGTAAAACATGCGTCTAATAATACTTATAAGAAAACTAAACTATACTACTTAAAGTTAGAAACATGACCAACATGATCTGAAGTTAGAGAAAAACATAGGGTATCAAATAATAATGCTGTTAGAAATCATCAAATAATCACCGCCTAGTGCGCTGACTAACAATTACACTGGTCAAACTATACTTTCCAAGAGCTCTCATACTAAATTTTAATTTGTAGAACTCTAAGAAGTTAAAATGAATCAGGCTTACAAACTTCAACCATAATAAAGGTACAATCACCTCAAGAACTCCATTAATGTCAAGTAGTGATAAATAAGACAGATTTACGTTGCAACCAATATAGTTGAATATAGAATTAAACTTGTAACCTAAAATACAATATCTAAACAAGCACAAAATAGCTCTACAACGTGCAAATTGGTCAGTCATTATATTCTTGTTAAATATCAAATAAAAGAATAACAACAAACCCACTAACCTAATATTGCCCGAAAAGAAAGTTTAAAGTAAATACACAATTACGTTGAGAAAAAATGTATTTATAACTCACCGCACAGCGAACTTACATAAGCAATATCAATCCATGTAATTATGCATCCAGTTTTTAATTTTCCCACATCCGATGCCAAAGAATTATGATTAGGTGAATTTTTAGACCATATCGTTATTATCTGTGGACTAACTCTTGTCGTTGGACTATTATAATTACCCCGTTTATTAAAACGTCTTGAATAGATCGGTGTAGGTTCTACTAGTATTGGAAAATCCTGATCTGAGTTAAACATTGAACTTTGGACAAGATGATATAATTTATTATATTGGTCGATTGTAGCTTGCACGGATGGAGCAGGTTTGCCTCTAGCATATATCAGGCAATCATTTAACTCCATGTCGAGAAATAATCTCTAAGACAGAAAAACATATTAAAGCCAATAGGTAGTTTAAAAACAGGATTAAACGCAGATTCTAATTAAAAATTAAGTGAAAGCTAAAGGCTCTTTGTATCCATGTTTACAAGACTTAAGACTGAAATGATTAGCCGACATAAACATAAAAATTATATCCTGACATTTGTAGACCGGAAAATATATAGTTCCTTGGCCATTAGTGGCTGTCGTAACTCACAAGCTTAGTGCGTAACACTTCAGTGTCTATTTACATGGATAAGTGTCTCGAGTTCAAAGGAAGAAAACAACAATGGGAATCCGACATATCCAACTAACCAGGCTTAAATGGAAAGAATTATACGTCGTAGACCCCAATACTTCGTGATGACCGAAATACACTTAGATTAAAAAAATTGTCCCATGTGGGCCACATGGACAAAATTTATCATAAAAATTGTCCAGGTAGTGTTACTATAGAGTGAGTTTTTGCAAACAAATCGTAAAAAATGTCTATATAAAATGTATTTCTAATCAAAATCTCATATGAAAATAACCAGGTTATTCAATAAAATTTCCTACCTGATCAGCAACAGTCAGTTGTTCAGCAACTGTATCTAAATTTAAATTCCATAGATTAATTAAGGGGTTAATAGAAGGTGTAATGGTAATTATTTCTTTTAAATGCTTTTCTGATTTATGCATTGCAGAGTTGTGTAGTGAATGATGACAACTGACTAAGAAAAAGGGAAAAGTTAAAAACTCTTGGTAACGTAACTTTTCGAAATAGATAGTAATAGTAGAAAATTATATATATGTATATAATTCAATTATGCAATTTTAATTACTGTGCTACAAATATAAATTTAAACTATCTTGCAACGGTAATTAGATGAAACATCTACACATGTTATCAAGTTGTATATACATATACATTAGTAGACGTTATACAGAATTAACATTTACCTCGATTTATGGTGATTATACGCACTGACGGTAATTGTTTTTCCCGAGTTAAGTCTATTTGATATTTACAGGCTATGATTTTGAGACAATTTACAGCTTGTCGGCATAAATACTCCATATCTGCAGTAATTCGATCCCAAACTTCTGAATCAATGTTGCACAAAACGCTTCGCGTCGTATCTTGATTTCTAGAAGACACATTATTTCCACAGCACCTCATCAACTCTTTTAGAACATAATTGTGACTGTCGTGATTATAAGAGGGTTGAAAAACATCAAACCAACCGGCAAGAATCCGTATTAGCCATTTAAGATGAATAATTTTCTGTGGGGAATCAAAATCTTTTACATGAGGCTGCTGCAACCATGCACCAAGAAAATACTGAAAAGACCTATACACAGAAAACAATTTTTGAAAACAATGGGTGATAAATTGCTAACATTCTGATGAGGAATACAAACAACTTCGAGATGATCCATGTAATTTAAATATGAAAATTCAGTCAAATAATATACTCTTATAAAGTGATAGAGATCTAAAATCACTGGAAAATAACTGATCACAAAAAAACGCAAGTTACAGGTGAGCTAGTAAAGGATGAATTACATTAATCTGTACCAAAACCTGGCCTTATAGTGGGGTTTGTATCAGCGAACATTTAGTTAAAGGCACCAGAAAGCTGGTATGCAAGTAGTAAGTAAGCACTTGTTTTGTCATGCACCCAGTTCAATTCTATCAGTACATCAAATAATATTTTCAAATATGGATGTAATAGCGAGTTTTCCCATGGTCTTTGAAAAATATACATAAAATAGTTAAAAAAATTTTTATGTTAAAGAATAAAACAAAAGCTTAACAAAGAAGAAAAACTTCTCAACACATTAGAACTTAATCCCGCAATTCAGTACGTAAAACACGAGTTGTCCTTTACTTTACTACATCTTAAAGGAACCTTGTCGAATTAACAACAAGATATAGGATAGTGATGATGTTAAATATGTCCCAAATATCTGACAAATCCATAAATCCAAAGTACAAAATTCAGTTTTAACATATGAGGACACTTCATCAAAACAACAGGTAACATATTTTTCGATAATGTTAGTAATTCACTAATTTTTTGCAATATCGGGTAAGCAAACTAATGCTTGAAAAATTAAACATTTACTGCGAAGGTAAAAATATTACCTACCAGAGATTTTGCTATTAATAGGTGAATAAGTAGGAATGGGGAAGTTTGGACGATGTTCTCTAGCGACTCAGAGGATACATATTTCGTAAATAATTTTTTGTGGTGTTTCAGTGTTATCTCAATTGCATTTTTAAACTTATTATCTAGTTTATATTTTTCTTCATTCTCAAACTACTTCTAAACAGTTATACTCCCGTTATCGAGATTTATATCGCAAACATCCCGGATTTGAATGTATTATGGTACATATTCATGGGACATCATAGTATTGTATTTTAAGTATGTAATAACGTGAGCTTTAGAGTCTGAACAATACACAGTAATGTGAGCTGCTTGTGTAGTCCTTCAGGCGTTCTGATTAGCAGGCTGAGAACGTATGGTAAATTTCGTGTGGGTAGTTGGTCCCTTATCAGTTAAGTCAGAGGATTCACATTTATTGAGTCACTACGAAAAATCAAGTAGGTAGATCCATAGTGAAAGCTAAAGGCAAGGGGATGTACAACAAAAAGAGGCAGACCATTCACAAAAGAGACTTACGAAATAATCCCAACTTTCCAAGAGGTAGGTATTAGGCTTGAATGGCATGTATCCCAAAATCTGTACGGATTATTATACAGTTTATACAAAGTCATACTTGCTTTTTATTTACAACTTCCAAGACTAATTCCATATCGGCAAATATCCGATAGGTGTATAAGAAGGTGTTAACGGACACAGTATCAATAACCGCCCCTTCATTCAACACGAAGAAATCAAATAATTCCACAAGAGACCCAACTTTTTTTAGCTTTTCTGAGCGTCTAGTAGGTGGAACAGCATGACTCGGTTGAATCTAATCATAAGAACATCTAAGCAATCAAAATACTTACTTTATTGATGAGCGCCATGGGGCTTTTTGGTCTACTTTAGGGGAGCAAATACCGATAAAACAACCAAACAGTAAAGTTTTTGACGGGAGGATATTCCAAAACTTAGTAAGAATCTGGAAAGGAACAGATCAAAATTACTGTTTTTGGTTAACCCATACTTACTGAAGTTTGAATACACCAACAATACTATACAATAAAGTAAGAGATTGTGCCCCAATTATTATTGGCTGAAAAGAGGTAAAAATTCATTTCGTAAAGAAGTAAATGAAGCGGATTGTGAGGGAGTATAAAGTTTAACAAGCAATCTGCTTGTATAAACAATCTACATGTATAAGAAAGTTTTATTCCTGAACGTAAATCCAAACCGAGCCTCCCAACAAAAATTCGCGAAATAAAGAGTTGCATTAAAAAATAGAGGTCTAATGAAACCACATTCTATCCTGGATACAAACGTTTTGAGACTAATAGATGACGATTCAAATATTGTGTTGTCAAAGCCAAACTGACAGGGATACTCAGGTGAGGAATTGGTTATAATCAGCCTTAGAGCCTGTAGAAAATCACAATGAGAAAGAGATACAAGAAGATCTGCACTTTTCTTACTGAAAGATAATGATGATGCAATAGATCGGAAGAAAACTAAGTCGAAATCTAACTCGACCAACCAGAGATGACGCAAAAGCTGAACTGACGGAAAGAATCGAAAGCTATCTTCGGATGGGATACTTCTAGATAAACGGAAATATGTATGTCTGTTGATACTTATCAGGAGCTGACGTTTTATACAACCCGCAGTAAATGTAGGACAATAATGGTGAATATTTTTATATATTATATTAATAGAACACAAGGCGATATTTGATTTAGATACTGAAAGGATTTCTTATTTTGCATGTTGCAATCTGTGAGTAAGTGCAATATATGTCATTATTTTAAAAACTCACAAGTGTAAACATAAATAAATCATAGGTCGACAAATCAAAGTATCAAAATATTACACATGAAAAGGGCTGGGACTAACAATAATCCTGATTTGAACTCTTCGATGCAGCAGACATGGACAGCGATAATAGGGAACAACAAACTTTGAAGTAACGCATAAACCAAAACAAACGATTAAAATATAGGTTTAAATAAGAAGTGATAGGCAGCTGCAATATAAATTTATTTTGCTTACTGAAAATTGAATTTGTTTATACTGTGTCAAATTGTCTTGTTTTTGTTTTTTTGAGTCAAGAAAGCGCGCTTTATGACCTTACTGTTAAGATTGCAAAAGCGGGGTTTATCAAATGGTTTTTCGGGGGACTATAATTGTACAAAACATTTCAAAAATCAAATCAACGGTTTTCACGCGACTCTAAAAGTGCGTTCAGTTCTCTTTAAAGTATTATACTCAGCCTTTTTACATCAACCTAATAATTTACATTTTCAGGTCCTAATGTCCGTATCGGTTCACTGAAAGGTATAGTTTTTTTATTCCTGTTAACGCTTTTCGTGTGCTTCAGCCTTTGTGGACATGCAGTTTGTTTACTGTCTTACTGTTTTTAAGCGATCTATTTCTTCAGAATATGTTAGCTTTTAATGCGTTCAGTTGAATAAGGTGACCCACTCGTCCCTTTTGGTTAAAGTGTGTTGATACTGATGTCGTCTTATTAGGAATCCGAGGTGTCGTTCCTTTGTCAGGTCAAGCAAGTATTCACGTATGATGTTATTGTTCAGATATTACGTTGACCCCTATTATCATCATACATACTAGTGGCGAGACTCTAATTTAGGGAAGAGCCAATCAAGCGTTTGAGCAATTTCAATTATTAGGCAATCAGAAGACAGCATAAAGTAAAAATCTATTAAAAGAAAGTAATAATTTACAGTGGATATTCTTCTTTTACAGGATTTAAAAACTCATATGTTAGCATCATAACCCTAAACCTTAACCGTATATTAGCACCCTAATCCTAGCCCTAAACCCTAACCTTACCCGTAAACCTAACCCAATGGACGAGTTTCTATTCCATATGCATTGTGAATTCAGAACCTCTGAACCTTAATCAAACCTTAACAAGTTTTTAAATCATGTAAAAGGTGAATATCCACTGTAATTCATTACTTTCATATAATATATTTTCACTTTATACTAACTTTCTTCTGATTAGCTAATAATTGTCAAGGTCACTTAAGATTCGTTCAAAGGTCGTCCTTAAATTAGAGTCTCGCCATACTAGTTTGTAAGTGAATTCTGGTACTTTAAAAAGAATTTGTCGATTTGTTGTCGGTTAGTGTTCTAAGCGGTGAATATCATTTCGCTATGAAAGCAAAGAAGGTAGAATTCTGTACATAGGTCTGCATCTTGCGTTGTCCATTCTAACTGCCTCATAATTTTTGGTTGTAACCACAGATAGTCATCTCTCTAACCCCTATATATAGGTCTTTAGCTTATAAACCTGGGTGCTTGAAAATGAATACATGGTGAAAAAACTTCATGACTTGCTTAAGTGAGTTATGCATTCTCAGACAGATCGTTATTTTGAGCTTTAAGCATCTGTAATGTGTGTGCGGCAAACATAATATCCGTTGAGACTACCGTTTTTTTATAAATCAGGATTACTTTACAAATCAAGGCTACTTAGCACTTCATTCGGTGGCAGTTGACAAAATGTTTACATTTCTCTATCATACATCTTGGTTCTGTCAGTTTAAGAGGATTTCAATTATGTTACAAGTCTGCTTACGGCTTTGAATCCTAACAAAGCTTTCACTAGTGTAAATGCTCATCATTTTGTTGCACCACTGTATAATGACTGTGGTTCATCGAAGGAGATGTTAAAGTAAAAAAAATATAACTTTGTAGTTTCACTAAATGTTTGCAAAGTACACACTTAACAAAAAAAATGCACTTTCTGTATTAGTTTATGACTATCAAGCATGATTTTCGAGTAGTAAACGAAACTTACGCTTGCTTGTGTCAGAACCACTGAGTGGTTGTCGTTAATTTGTTGCAAATATCAGGAACTCAGTTGTCTACCTATTTATTTATTCATTTGAACGTAAACATTGGTACAAGGAGGCACCAATTACATATGTACCACACAACAACAATGTGGCCAGTAGTTTTCATGGATTTGTGTGAGAGCTGTAATATTTCACGAGTGCTCACACCGGAGCAGGTGGTTTTCTTAGAGGACCACCTCCAGGGCCTTTGACCTAAAGGTATAGTCCACAAGGCAGTGGAACAACGTAAGGAGATGCAGTCGCATGGTAACCGTTGACCAACAATTGGTCCATACGCCTTTTTTCTCTAAGGGTCCTGCACGCCATGTGCATCACGGTTCTCTAACCTCCCTAAGTGGACCCTCCGTATCCACCAACCCGATTACAGCGCTGGACATTCACTTTTCGTCCCCAACTTCGTGAAAAACACCCCGCCGCAAGAAGACAGTGAGTAGGACTTCCCTGTCAGTGGCTGTATACGCGTGGCCATGTGAGAGCATTTCGAAAGGGAGAGCTGACTCTCCCCACCCTCGATCATACCAGGATATTTGGAGGCAGTTGTCTACCAGCCACTTCATCTCTCAAAACTGATACACGTCCCCTTCATGAGTTGTTAATGTCCGTTTTTGGTGATTTATTTTTTACTGCATTAAATCTAGCTCATACTCATCCTGACAGTTTTATTTCTGTAGTTGCTCAATTAACCAGTGGTTCTGTATTCTGATATTCATCTACAATTTGAGGCATTGTTCCATGGACAAATTTTAAAATTTCTCCATTCTCATTTTAAAGATGCAAATAAACTGAACCATGTAGGTAGGTGTAGGTTATCTGGTTGGGGTCCTCGCGATTATCGTGATCAGTGATTAGAGACTTCAGGTGACACTCAAGATCGTTCTCAATGGCTCAGGCATTCACTTTTTGTCTTCCCCTAGAACCTGGTGGCGAAATTCCCTTATACTTTTTGCATATCTAATCTGCTGATACTATTACTACTTCTCTGGGCTTTGTCTTGGTAGTTTTATTCTGCTTTGCTAATGGTTTGTGGCGATTTCAGCTGACGCACTTATCTGGTTTTATGTTGTATATGGCTTGCTGATATTAAGTGTGGTTTAACCAATAAGTCTTCTAGAATCTTGACGGATAGCAAATGGCTGTTAATGCAGTATAACTTGATAAAGTATTCAAATATCTTTAAAGTAACGGCCGCCCAGTGACTTGAAAAACTATTCAGTAATTCCTCATATATATAATATATATATATATATAATATGTAAGTTATATAATCTCATATGTACCAGTCTTTATCAATTGAATAGCCTCTATCAGAAGGGGTTTGTGGAGATTTTAGAAATTTCACAGATTGAAATAATGAGTCAGTTAAAGCTAGACCACCATGGAAAACCTGGAAGCACTGGACATCCGTTTCGTCCTAGTATGGGACTCCTCAGCAGTGCGCATCCACGACCCCGCACCCCGCAAGATTCGAACCCAGGACCTATCAGTCTCGCGCCAGGCGCTTAACCAACTAGACCACTGGGTCGGCATCCAATGGTGATAATGTCTAACTTCAACCAATCCACGAAGTTGCGCCACCGTATACCATTGTCCTCAGTGAATTGATATCTCACAACAGACCTGGTTGAACTCCACTGGTAACGACTTCCCACTAGAACTCCAGGAGTATCTCTTGAGGTCAGTCACTAATGAGCAGATGATTATTAACAGAAGGGGTTCGTGGAGATTTTAGAAATTTCACAGATTGAAATCATGAGTCAGTTGAAGCTAGACCACTATGAATAGCCTCTACTTGTGACATATGTATATATGGTTATTTAAGATGACAAGATTTAGTAGTTAAAGATTTTGAGGGATATTCATGCAAATATTTTTAATCTTTACTTCCTTCAGCTTACCACTGCATTTATCTCGTCTCTATTTTTTTGTGTTTTTGGATGATTTCTTTCTGTTAGTAATACAAAGTATGCTAGCCAACCGACACTTTTATACCATATCCCTGTTCCTTTTTATTGTCTTCAGATGCGTATTAATTATCACCTATTTTAACATTTTACATCCATGTAAGTCTATCTTAGCAATGCAATATCCCATGCATAATTGACAGCTTTACTATGAGCGCTATGCGTATTCTCTTGCGATTAGTCACATAACCTGAAAATTAAGATGATGTAAAAGCTTTACTATCTTCAGTCAGTTCACTGCATATATACAAACCAAGATGAGATCGATACGTCTTTTAACATAACTTTACGGTTGGGAGTTACTGGCACTTGTAACACGAAACGCTCATCACTGTTCAAGCACCGAAAATAAGCCTTTTAGACGTCTTTGGTAATCATTAAAATGTTTGGTCCCCAAGTAGGTGAACGAAATATAGTCGTATGGTGTCTTTAACCGAATCAGGTTTAGATGTCGTTCTTTTCTCAAAATCCCATGTCCATTATTGGTTTAGAATTAATTTTCTAAAATAGACTATACATATTCGCTACCTTTGCTTACGCATCAAAGTATTTTATTTAGTTATGGACGTGTACTCATTACTTCGTACATTTGTAATTGATAGCTCGTACAGGTGCAACTGATGAGATTTCACGCTGTTTGCTTCTCTATAAGTCACCAGGGTTGATACTCTCATCAACGATTCGAAACTGTCCCAATTCCATTTTCCAACTCTGCTTATGTTATATGTTATCACTTAGTCTTACACAATGAAATCAATACAGCTGTACGTAGTCAATTATTACGTTTTACTTTTTAAGTGAATTCATACGAAATCTGAAACGTAATCTTGTATTTGTTTTATTAACCTATAGTAATTAACATTTGTTTAGTTCTACTGTAATTATGACTTCGTTTTCTTTGTATTAAATGACAGGGTCTGTTTAGAACATACTGACAATGAGTGTCCAAAGTTATGACAGAAAACTTACATGTTCTTCTTTAAAGCGAAATATTCAATTGTTGGAAAGGGCTTCAGGGTGCTTTACATGTTCTATGTGCTCACAAAACAAGGGACTGAATGATGGTCATTTAAATTATCTATCAAATGTATCTCATAAACCTGACTCAAGTACTTCTGATCCCGAAGTTTTTGTTTCACATTTAACGAAGTATCATTCAAATACTGAAAACCATTTATGCCTTTACTGTGACTCCATTGTTCATCGAAATTATTTGATGATTCACATTTCCCAGCACTTACTAACTCCTTCCTCTTCAAAATCTCCGAGAATCTTTTCTTGTCCATCTAAACCTCAGTGTTCTCATGAATTTAGTACTGATCGTTTTCAACATATGCAGATTCACTGGGACACTCAACATAATAGTTCATCTGAGACCCCCAAATTGCAATGCAGTCAATGCATGAATACATTTTCTACATTGTTGGAATGGGGAGAACATATTAAATTAAATCTATGCTCACTTGTACACTGCACTTTCCCTGGTTGCTTTGTGAAATCGCCATCTAGAACACTTATCTTGGATCACTTTCGACGAAAGCATACTGATTTCCTTGATCTCAAAGAAGAAACTTCGTCCCAATTATTTCGCGAAACTTCGGAGGTAGGCTTTTTTTCAATTTCTATGGAATATATACTTCACAACAACGTTTTGAATGTGTGTCGTAGTCATACAATATTTATGTTCGTTGGTTTTGCTATCTGGAAAAGGTCAGTCAGTCGCTACGTAGAAGCTCGTACGTATGTAAATCGGTTCAAGTTGCTATACTCCTATTAACACAGAGAGATAAAATTGCCAGGTCGAATTCCAAAATAGTAGAGACAGTAACAGAATGAGTGGGGATTTTAAATAATAGAGTATGAATTGGTGAAGTAAAAACATAATTTTTGGTGAATCCAGGATCTCGGTATTTAAGGGAAGACAAAGGATGGGTGCACCTTCGCCACTGCAAACGATTTTGAATTATGTCATTCAAAGTCTAACCACTGGCTACGATAATCACACGGACTCTAACCAGATAGTCTACACCTATTGACATGGCTCAGTTCAGTTGTCAGTGACTTCATGAACTGATGTCATGTTTTGGTTTGGGATCAGGAAAATTTTTAAAGACTAGTTTAGTTCTTTGAATTATGTATTTGTAGATTGCTAGTTTCAACTTGTTGCTCTCCACTTATACAGAAATATTTCCCTATAGTGCTGTAAAGTTTTAGCTACGTACTACTTATCACTGATATCTTAAATAATCTGTGAATGATTTGATGTGATTATTGTACGTTTGTTTGTGGTTTCATCTTTGTTTTTCAACAATGATGTAAGTTTATGAGCGACCCTGTTAAGCATATGATTACTGATTATTGGTATTTGTTATAGTTTCGTAAATTAAGCAGCAGCTTTCTACACACTTAAATGGACATATATTTGTAAATTTTGGAACACTAGCTTTTCGGTTTACAAATATGTACCAACTTATTCACCATGTACAGACTTATGTACTCCGTTATAAGTCACACTTTTTATGTAAGGGTTTGTGAATTTCTCACTCCCAAAACTAAAGTTCGATAGAGCGTTATTTAAAGTAGTTGCAATCTAGAGATCGATAGTTCAATGTCTTAACCACGTAGCTTCCATCCAAATATATTAAAATAAGTGCTCAAACTTTGTACTATCACAGCTTATATATATAGCCATTTTTTAAAGCTTTATTTTGTTCTTACTGTTTAGTTTTTTTTCTGTAAACTGATTTCTGATATTTGTTCTCGGACTTGTTCTGCTTTTATTTATATTTCAGTTAATTTGTAACCATCTTGTTACAACTGTCGCTAAGTTAGATAATGCATCACAATATGATTGCACTTCCTCATTGACTGTAGTTGATCAGGCCTCTATTGTTAACAAGATATTTTCAGATATGTCCTCTCCATTCGTCTTTCTACTTCGTTGTCCTTATTGTGATCTTACAACTATTCGGTGGATTTATTTTCTGATGCATCCTGCTTCCTGTACAGGTATAAGGGCATATTTCCGTAATCGCCGCCAAGAATCTGAGAAAGTACTGCCTCTAGTTTATCGCTGCCATATTTACTGGTGTTCAAAATGTCAGGTGGTATCTACAGAGCAGAAGTTAATTGCAGAGCATGTTACTTATTCTCATAATCCCAAGGTAGGTTATTTTGCTTTGTCTGTTACCATATACTTACCGATATGTTGCTTTAAGAACAACAATTTTCTTCATTCATATTAACTGTTATTAGATACACATGCAATCAGTCAATCACTTCACAGTTACAGAACTTTTACGTGTACAGCGTCAGGATACTTTCAATTGGTTTTTATTCCTATCAGAGGTCAATGAATCATTTGACACGTAATTTATATGGTTTTCGGATTATGAACAAATCGTTTTCGAATCCAGTCAGAGAAGATACATTTGGATTACCAGGATCGTAACAGGAGCTTCCTATTCTTATGTATACACTTTACTCCGGAACTGTGACTTGTCAAACTATTTATTCTTAGGTGCTGAATAAAATCTGTTTAATTTTTAGGTTTTATTTTATAAGGTGTATTGGTGCACTAAACGATGGTATACAGCATAAATACTGTCCCTGATCAGTTCCATTACATTACATTGTTCAAATTCTCAAATCATTCAAGTAGATAACTCACCTTCATGTTCAAACAGTTTAATATAGTTTTTAAGAATTTTGATAAATTAATTTTCTAGTTGAGTTCATAGGTCAATTAAGGCTAAACCACCATGGGAAACCTTGATGCACTGGACGGCTGTTCCGTCCGTCCCCATGACCGAAGGTCCTGGGTCCGAATCTCGCGAGCGGGATCGTGGATGTGCATAGCTGAAGTCCTATACTAGAACGAGACGGACATCGGGTGCTTCCAGGTTTTCCATGGTGGTCTAGCTTTGATTGACTCATGTACCCAACTATTAAATTACTACAATTTCCACAAAAAACCCCTTTTGATAAAAATCAATTTTTCTCACTTCAGAATCATTAAATTTGATGGTAGCTGCATCTATTCTTTAATAACTTCCTCGTTTAATTCCCTTATAACAAGGGGTACTTTCTGATGTCATGTATATGATTCCTTAGAAATCAATCCTGCTAGCGATAAAGGTTTGTTGCCTTTATTGACCCGATAACTGTAGCTACAACTAAATATATTGGAAAAATAGACTACTTCTAAGACATCGCTGTTTTAATAACTCTCATGCCTTTTAATTATCTGTTCCTAACATGAGCTCGTAAATACACATGAGGACTCAAACTCCATTTCAAGTATTATTGTATGCTAAATGATTAGCTGGTAGGAAGCCCTCAGATGCCCTGGTATGGCCGAGAGTGGACTGGGCCCGCCCTCCCTTCCTCTTGAAATGCTCTCACACGGCCACGCGTATACAGCCTCTGCCAGGGAAGTCCTACTCATTGCCTTCTCGTGGCGGGGTGTTGTTTACGAAAATGAGAGGACGAAAAGCGAATGTCCGGCGCTTTAACCGGATTCCAAACCAATGGTGCACATGGGCTCCAATATCCTGCGGGAACAAATGACGTATGAACCAATCGTTGGTCACCGGCTACCCTGGGACTGCATCTCCTTACGATGCTCCACTGCCTTGTGGATCAGACCTTTAGGTCAAAGGCTCGGGGTGTGGCCCCCTCAGAAAACCATCTGCTTCGGTCTGGGCACCCGGGCAGTATCATAGCCCACACACACACAAACATGGTATGGCGCATATATATTTGGTGCGCTCTTCTACCAATATCTATGTGTTGAAATAATAATAATAGCTGGTAGGAAAGTTTCCCTTTCCAGTCGGTAAATAATGTCATACATCCGTGTTTATAGAAATTTCATATATATACCCATTTTTATACTTGCTTATTAAAACTGTTAGAAGTTAAAGTGTAACTGCTGGTAAATTATCACTTGTTGAGTAAACACGATAGACTGTTTAGATATAGGACCGAATTTCTTTCTACGGACTAGTAATTTGATTGTACAAACTCATTTATATAGTTTCAATATTTTCCTAGATCTCCAACTTTCATAATCCGCATCAAGTTTAGACCTAGTTTCGTCTTTTTTTTATAATAGCTTTTAAATGAAACATTAGTGGATGTTTAAATTGTCAAGTTGATATTCAAGACTGAATATTGATCAGTCTCCATCGGCATATGTACATCTCATGGTGATTGCATCGATATGTCCATTTTGTCTCACAATTTTTAGAATAAATGGATTGTTTGTATTAGTGGAATCCAAAACACATGTTCAATCATATTTGGGACTCGTCAGCCATATCGAAGCAACCCACATGGGATGTACACATGCCAGCAAGACTGATCAAAATTCAGACCTGAATGTTAAAGACGGAACAATTCAGTCCATTACTAATAATAATGTAATCCTCGCGCTCACTAAGCAAGTTATTGGTTATTTGGACTCAGTAACTCTGTAGATTCGTTCGAAGTAAAGACCGGTGTCAGGCAAGGTTGCTTACTCTCACCCTTCCTCTTTCTCTTGACGATCGACTGGATCATGAAGACATCAACATCTGAAGGAAAGCATGGGATACAGTGGACAAATAGGATGCAGTTAGACGATCTAGACTTCGCAGATGATCTGGCCCTTCTATCCCAAACGCAACAACAGATGCAGGGGAAGACAAACAGTGTGGCAGCAGCCTCATCAGCAGTAGGTCTCAATATGCACAAAGGTAAAAGCAAGATTCTCCGATACAACACAGCATGCACCAATCCAATCAAAATTGACGGAGACGATTTGGAAGATGTAAAAACCTTTACATATTTGGGCAGCATGATTGATGAACAGGGTGGATCTGATGCAGATGTGAAGGCGCGGATCGGCAAAGCAAGAGCATCATATTTACAACTGAGGAACATCTGGAACTCAAAGCAACTGTCTGTCAACCAACACCAAGGTCAGGATTTTCAATACAAATGTCAAGACAGTTCTACTGTATGGGGCAGAAACCTGGAGAACTACGAAAGCCATCATCCAGGAAATACAGGTGTTTATTAACAGTTGTCTACGCAAAATACTTCGGATCTGTTGGCCGGACACTATTAGCAACAACGTACTGTGGGAGAGAACAAACCAGATTCCAGCGGAGGAAGAAGTGCTGGAAGTGGATAGGACACACATTGAGGAAATTACCCAACTGCGTCACATTGCAAACCCTCACATGGAATCCTCAAAGCCAAAAGAAAAGAGGAAGACCAAAGAACACATTACGCCGAGAAATGGAAATAGATATGAGAAAAATGAACAAGAATTGGATGGAACTAGAAAAGAAGGCGGAGGACAGAATGGGTTAGAGAATGCTGGTCGGTGGCCTATGCTCCATTAGGAGTAACAGGCGTAAGTAAGTAAGTAACTCTGTAGATAACCCGTCGCCGTTTGAAGCTAAAAGTACTGTGTTCGAGTTGCAGTATGAACATCAATACTGTGATACAGGGGAGTCTTAGATAAGAGCAAATGGACATTGTGTTGTATCGTTCGTTACAGTGCATCAACTGTGTCTTAGATTACAGGTTTTTTTATACCTAATTTATTTATTTATTTATTTATTTGAACACATAAATATTGGTACAAGAGAGCGCCAATATATATGCGCCACACAAAACAATGAGAATTCGAAGAGAAGTAGAAAAAAAAACTAAGGAGCGCAAAAGAAAAAGAGAACAATGACGAAGAGATTGGAGTAAGGTAGTGTGGTAGTAACGACGGAACGAAAAGGTACAATCAGAAGAAATCTTTTAGGTAAAGGAGGCACAACCACTTTTTATGAAGAAAGTAAAAGAAGGTTACAGCAGGATCGCCACTGGCTTCTATTCTGAGCCATATCTGATAACGTCTCTAGCCACTGTGTAGCACCATCTCTCGGACCCCAACCAGGGAGTCGTGAAGGACCAACACAAGCCAGTCCTTTGCAGCTTTCTTTCATGCCACGACACCATGTCATACACTGACCACCTCTCCGCTTCTTCCAACCAGTCCCAGAGTCGGCAAATAATGCACGACGTGGAATTCTCTGGGACGACATTCGGAGAACATGTCCAAGCCACCGAAGTCGGTGTTTCAAGATGGCGACATCGATTACATTATCATCCTGTGCCCGAACACGCGATGCCGAACCTCTGCATTACTGACATGGTGTTGCCACTGGATGTCAGCAATCCTTCGGAGACAACGATGATCAAACACAGAGAGTCGTCTAACGTCCTCAACTCGGAGAGGCCAGGTTTCACAAGCATAGAGCAAAACTGCTCTCACCGACGCGTTGTAGATCCGACCTTTTACAGCCAAACTAACATCACGAAGGCGCCAAAGGTGGCTTAGATTGGCATAAGCCGCTCTGGCTTTCACTATTCGTGCATTGATCTCATCACTCACACCCCCACCAGCACTTATGCAGCTACCCAGATACACGAACTTCTCGACTACGTCTATCTGCTCACCATCCAGGGTGAGTACAGGATTGGAATCCTGCCAGTCTTGTAGAAGTACTTTGCACTTCGAAGGTGCAAAGCACATACCATACCTACGGACACTGATTGCCAACTGATTAAGTGCGGATTGCATGCCTTGGGCATTATCGCACAGTAAGACAATATCGTCCGCATACTCAAGGTCGAGAAGTCTTTCTCCAGGCAACAGATCCACATCACCAGTACTTACATCCATCAGAGCTGTTTCCAGAATGTCATCGATGGCAAAGTTGAGGAGGAATGGTGGGATTGGGCAACCCTGCCTAACCCCACTGCTCGAATGGAACAATGGAGAGAGGTGGTTGTATGCCCTCACTCTGCCTGAGGTGTTTTTATACAGGGCTTTTAGGATGTTAATAAACTTCTCAGGCACACCCTTCTTCAATAGACAATCCCAGAGAACAGTCCTGTCCAAGCAATCGAAGGCAGCCCTGATGTCAAGAAACACTACGATTGTTGGCCTTTGAAAAGTATGGCGGTGTTCTAACATTTGGCGGAGGGTGAAGATATGATCAATACATCCTCGACCAGAACGAAACCCAGCCTGCTCCTCGCGAGTCAATCTTTCTCGGGTTTTGAACAACCTACGAAGAATGACGGAAGCCAATAGCTTGGACGCAATCGGAAGTGAACTTATCCCCCGATAGTTGTTACAGGAAAGACGTGAACCCTGTTTAAAGATAGGGACAACTATCGACTCATTCCATGACGTTGGTACACTCTCTAGTTCCCAAACCTTTGTAAACAACGTCGTCAGTTCCTTAGTCAAAAAGTCACCACCATCTTTAAAAAGAACCGGAGGTAAGTCATCTGGGCCAGGTGATTTGTAACGCTTCAAGAGTTGGAGTTCCTTGCGGACTTCCTCCTCATTTGGTGGATCAGTCGTCACCGGCCATGGAGGGCAGGACAGTCTGACCGATGCTGCCGGAGCAGCAGGCCAGTTGAACTGCCCTTCGAAAAATTCTGCCCATCGTCTAAGACGTCGATGGATGTTAGTGATTGGCATCCCATCATCCTCGCAGATTGTTTCGCCCACACCAGACTTGTTGCTACAAGTGGCTCGGATGAGCTGGAAGAGCTTCCGGTAGTTACCAGATGCAGCTGCTGCTTCCAGCTCATTAGCATGCTTCGACCACCAGGCTTCTCGGTCCTTACGCAAGCTTTGCCCAATTACCTTACGTAACATCCTTAGTTTGTGGTCAAACTCACGGTCACCCAGAGTAGACCGACGGTCTTCAATGAGTTGTAAGGAACCTGGAGAAACCCAGTGCTTAAAAGCGGGACGTTTCGCAAACCCACAACTGACTGTTCCCGCCATTTTCATGGCGTCATGCAATTGCAACCAATGCTCATCTATACTTTTCGGTAGAGTGGTAGCTAGCCTAGAGGCTAGTTCGGTTCGATACTTACTTGCAACAGAAGTTGCAACCAGCTTGCTAACATCAATCTTTTGGTGGTGGTCACTTCGTTGGACACTGAAAAGTAAGGCAAGATTGGCGCAGACCAAGGCATGGTCAGAGTCCAGATAGGTACTCCAAAAGGAGCGGCAGTCTTGTACACAACCACGCCAGCGGTAGCTGATCGCGATGTGATCAATCTGAGTCCAGGCTTGGGATACAGAGGGAGGATGCCAGGTGGCACATCGGCGATGACTGCCGAAAGTTAGTGCTAGCCAGAAACAGGTTGTGGTCTGTGCAAAGTTGCAGTAGACGGTCCCCGTTATCTGACCTGCGACCAACGAGTCCCCATCGGCCACCTAAACGACTCTCTTCTGTGCCTAGACGCCCTACCTAAGTATTCAAGTCTCCGGCTAGTACTACAATATCTGTCGAACGCACTTTCTGGAGAAGAACAGATAACTGGTGGTAAAACTCGTCCTTGATTGCATCCGGGCTGCAATCTGTCGGGGCATATGCGAAGATGACGAAAAGACATCGTTTCTCACGCCGATTTCTTCTCACTTTGATGGAACTTTCTAATCTAACAGCACATAACCGACTGTTAATGGGGATCCAATCGATTAGTGCTGTCTCAGCTCTAGCGCTTAGTGCGACACCAACGCCAGCGAGACCAGACGAAGATGCCACAGGGTCCCCGGATAAGCGCACGTAAAACAAGCTTTTCGAAGCGACAGATGGAGATCGAATTTGTAGTACTTCGCCAGAGTCTTGAATACGGGTCTCGGATAGACAACACACGTCGATATTAAGACTTTCCAAAGACATAGCCAGCCCTATCTGTTGTCCGACCTGCATAAGTGTGCGAACGTTGAAGGCAGCCAGTTTGAATGGTGCACGTAGTTTCAGAAAAACTGCTTCAGTCCTCGTATTCGGTGGTAACATACAATTTTCAACCGGACAGTGACTCGAGAACGTTTAGATACAGTCGGATTTCCACCAAAGACGAGCCACTGTATAAGTATAAAAGAGGGTGAATAATGTGGAAAATAATAATAATAATGATAATAATAACAATAATGACAATAATAGTAGTAATAATAATATTAGTATTAATAATGACAATAATTGTAATGATAATAATTTGAATCAATTGTTTGTTTTTCAAAGCGAGAAAGGTAATTTCCATAGGCATAAAGAGTTCATCAATTTGTGTGTGGGCTGTGATACTGCCCGGGTGCCCAAACCGAAGCAGGTGGTTATCTTAGGGGGCCACTCCCCGAGCCTTTGACCTAAAGGTCTAACCCACAAGGCAGTGGAGCATCGTAAGGAGATGCAGTCCCAGGGTAGCCGGTGACCAACGATTGGTTCATACGCCATTTGTTCCCGCAGGATACTGGAGCCCATGTGCACCATTGATTTGGAATCCGGTTAAAGCGCCGGACATTCGCTTTTCGTCCTCTCATTTTCGTAAACAACACCCCCGCCACGAGAAGGCAATGAGTAGGACTTCCCTGGCAGAGGCTGTATACGCGTGGCCGTGTGAGAGTATTTCGAGAGGGGGAGCGGACTCTCCCCACTCTCGGCCATACCAGGGCATTCAGGGGGGCTTATACCTAATTATTCTCGTCATATATGATAATCCTTTAAATCACCTTTATCTCTGTTGAAATTGGAAATAATGTCAGTTTTCTAGACAAATTCCAAAGTAACTCGCATTTCGTCGACTAAATGCTAGCATGTTAAAAGATCTTTTATTCTCTTAGGGATTGGTCAACAAGGGGTAATTAATAATTTCCTTCATAACCTTTTATATTGATCCATTCTCTAAACGTGCCTTAATTATTCATATCTTCAGAACTGAAACTGGACAATGGCTTCGGTATAAAAGTAATAAAACTTCCAACATATTTGGCTTTTTTAGTGAAATATTGTTAGTGGTTATAGACCAAGGATTAAAGGATGTTATTTATGTTGCTTCATCTATAGAAAAATCAGTTACAGTTATAGCAAAGGTTTTTAGTCTCATCTGCTCTATGGTACATACATTACATACTGTCTTCCTTCAGTGGTTCTCGTTAGACTATATTAGAGATAGACACTACCTCTAAACAGTAAACTGCATACCGCTGACTTTCGGTTTTGAGTTAATTAGTCTATTTTTGATAATGGAGACGAATAATATCAGTATTTATCATTCAGCCTTATCCAGTGTAATTCTTGACAGTTAGTAAGTTTAATTAATTTAATTTGTTTTTTATACAATAAGCTTGTTATACATCCTCTAGTTTTATTTACCTTTTTGTTTAAAGGAAGCATCAGTCTATCGGGAACACCTACGCGTTTCTTTACTGGATAATGACTCTGAACCGGTTACAACTGATTTATCTCTCAATACTGAACAAAAGTCGGGATCCTCTGCATATGCTCTTGATTATTTTCCTTCTTTTTCCTCAGTTCCTGATGATGATGCAAAGGAAACTGAATCACCTATGAATCTTGCAGCTTTGGCCCGACCTACTGCACCAACGTTAATGAGTTTAACTAACCGAGTTCAACAAACGCCACCAAGCAATGTTCATACAGTCTCTATTGATCAGTCTTCATCTAATAATAACGGTATGATAGTTAGTAACAGTTTAACCAGTATTCCAGCAAGTTCACCAATGAATATAATAAATAACGCTTCTGGAAACTTAAGTGCATGTGATGCAGCCTCAGCTGTTGCTGCTATGGCTGCAGCAGCTCTTTCAGGTTTGACAAACTTCAACATAAATAATGCTGTTCCGAATTCAGTCAGTACATTTTCAAAATCATTAGCTTGTGATATTTCATCTCCAATACCAATTCAGCCTAAACCCAGCATTCTGTCTACGGAATCACTAGATCCAATTCAAGATAGTAAAGAAGTCAACAATAATGATGTATTGGGTTCTCAGTCCAGCGACTCCTTAGACTCACTAGACAAATTTGCTGATGATAACCTGTCGTCGGATGAAATTATTCGTGGATGCGAAGGTTTAGTTTCTTTTCCATTCGATGAATGTAAATTCCGCAGTGAACTACGTGTACAATTGCAACCTCATGTAATAGATTCATTAGTTTTAAAAATGAAGCAATTCTCCTCTTACTTTGTCCGGATTTTAGGGAAGGAAAATCATCGTCGTATCCCGGTTTGTCCAGAATGTGATAAAGTGTTTCCATACGGTCTTGGTGATTTTAAACGACATTTACTTACAGTGCATCTGGAAGTCCCCAGAGAACATTTGAAAGATTGTTTGCGTTTTACTTATCTGCCCAAAAGTGAGGAAAGGTTTCAGGAAGTTCAAGAGCAGCTCGCTATGCGTCAGATGAAGCCTCGTGTCCTCGAGATTGGGCGCCGTCGTATTCCTTTACCATACTCAATACGCGTTTTGCGAAGACTGACCGCCCATCTTCCCATTGCCACGCGAGAATTCCTGGAGCAAAAGATGCAGTTGTACTGTCGCCTGTCGGTTATAGTCGATACACGCGGAGGGTTTCGGCGGTACAAATGCAACCATTGTTCTTACTCATCACCACATGCCCTGGCTGATGTGAGGAAGCATATATTGGGGTCTCATTGTGGCATATCGACTAAACATTTTCGCCACTGTCTCCAAGCATCCCGCCTGGATCCTGTTGAATTTACTTTGTTCTCTGATGAAAAGTTAGCTCGTCTCGCTAGAGATTTTTTACATAGACGTCTGGTTTCAAATAATCCAACCAGCCCAAACGCTTCACCAAATCCAGTAGATGAGAATCATCCTATTTCTTCCGTGACTCCTTCTACGACTTTGGCTACAGCGTTGAATAGTTTGTCTTGTACACAAGACTCGTATGGCTCTAATTTTACTGCCGTTGTTCCGGGTTCCAAAACCAAAGTTACTGTAAGAATTCGACCCCTGGTGCCTCCAGATTTTCATCCTCCTAATTCTACGAGTCCTATCCAATCAACTGATGATCACATCAATGGTTCCCCTGTTACATCTAATATAGAACAGTCGACAACTAACTCAAGTGTGGATTTAGCTTCACTCCCATCTATACCAGGAATAGAAGGCGCTGATAAGGTTGTTGATCTTGCCTTGCCATTTTCTGAACCAGTTCTTCGTCATTTGTTGGAATCCTCTGGTGCTCCTGAACACCATATAGAAGACATAGTATCGAAAATGCGCGTATATTCAACTTACAAAATGAGCCGAATATGTCGTAATGATCGCACTATAGCTTTCCGCTGTCCATGTGGGCGTCTTTTCATCACTACTCGACAACCTGACAGTAAAATTCGCGCCGCAACATTGGCTGATAGTAGGCGCCATGTGATGGGTGTTCATGCTCGTATTCCAAATGTATTTATCACCATTTGCTGCCAGGCTTCTCGTATTACTAGGGAATATGATTTTCAAATCTATCCTGATGATATGCTTCTTCGACTAGCTATGGACAGACCCATTAAACTTAATAATCTTCCTAATGTTGGTCCTCCTGACGTAACCACTACCAGTATGAATGGTCGTTCAGCACCATCTAGCTTCGCAAAACCTTTGAAAGAATTGGCTCCTTATCCTTCTGTGCCTACAACAGCACTTCAGCAGTCGATGAATACTCACTCTGTTTCATCTTCGCCTCGAACACAAATCACAGATGTTACTGAAACAGACTCAGTAAGTGAAGGGACTGATACCGGTGCAGCAAGTGGTTCAATTTGTCATGATGATTCACTCACTAAATATGACAGTAATGAAAATGATGATAAAGAAGTTTCAGATATTGATCCTAAAAAGATGCAGAAAGAAGTGGAAGATCCGCTTGCACAATTAAATGCTGTCCAGGCTTCTGGTGCAGAGGAAGTGGAACGTGTAATTGATCTTCCATATTCATCCGAAGCTTTAAAAACTTTAGTACAAGGCTACTGTCCACCCAACTATTTTCCGGTTCTTGAGGTTTGTATAACTTGCTGTTTGCTTTAATCATAGTATTTGCGTAAATTAAACCTTTTAACAGTGTTGGTACTTGAGCATCCGAATAATCTTGAATCGAAGAAAAATCTGTATTTTCATTGTTTTACGTAGTACCATCCTTTTCATCCAAGTCAATCCAACAGTTAAACTTGTTTGATAACAATATTTTAATCACGCTGTATCTTATTCCTATAGTTACAGGGTGTTTTGTTACTCAAACCACTCACATAAGCATCAATTTTAATCGATCAAAGTGTCTTTTATCATCGAGAATAAAACTTTGACGAGCAGATTATTATATAAATCCCTGCACAGCTGCTGTACCATATTTATGTAAAGTACAATAATTATTGATAACTATTATTCCAAAAGTGAAAATGTTTGCATTTTTCAAGTTTTCTGTTATCATTTTTATAGTATTTACATTATTGATCATAGATAAATGAAACGTTGATTATTTTACAGGCTAAAATGGGTGTCTACAGTTCACTAAAAGTGTACATTACCAGACGGCGAGGTAGGAGATATTTCTGCTGCTCTGGTTGTTCCTCATCTTCACCACATGGAATGGGTGACATTCGAAAGCACATACTGGGTGTGCATGCTAAAGTACCGGAACGCTACAAAGCTGCTGCTATGCATTGTAGCCGCCTCAGTCGTGAAGATAACACTCTATTACCAAATCATGTTTTACTTCACTTGGCTAAAATGAAATGGAAAGGAACTGTGATTAAACCACTGTCTGAAATGGACCTCAGTCAGTTTGGATCTCGTCGTGCATCAGCTGTTGGTTTACCTCGCCCATCAGGCCAGTTTGCGTCTCAGGTTTATCAACCTACTATCCACCGAGAAGTTGTGAGTTTTAATCGCCCTGAACATTTTTCTTCCAGTCCAAGCAAACATCCAGTGAATAAAAGTTTGTCAAAGGTAATCGAAATCATGTAGTAAATAGCAAACTGTTTTTCTTGAAATTGTGCACTAAAGTACTTAAATGAGAAATGTAGTTTTTCACAGATACATTGAATATCATTGTTAATAATTTGATAACTAAGAGGTTTCGCTGTCGACCTTACATTTTGCTTATTTATTTAGCCTTATTTTGCGACAATGACATCTTGTGATCGAAATTCAATATAAAGTAAAAATAATTACATTATTCTTTCGTATGAATAAAATGGGTTTGGAAAGTACTTGTAGGTTACATGTGCAGGAATAGCAATCATTATTACAGATTATCCTGCAAAGTTACTTATATTTACAAGCGGAGTTGGAAAAAAATCTAATGATATTACTGATGAGACTATAATGTATAGACTACCTTTGAGCATCGCTAAGATGTCCTTGGAATGTCCACCTACTTACTAGGGTTAAATGAGGGTTATAGAATTAGTGTGAGGAATTAGGATTAGGAATTAGATTTGATGTTTTCTTCACGAATTGGCATCAGCTATAATACTAAAATGATGTTTAAACATATTAGTGAATAAATTTCGCACCAAAATTCAAGACCTTCTATCTTAAATATGATTGGTTCGTCCATAAGTTATAGTTTTGCCGATATTACTTTTATGAGATTTGACTTGTAAAGTTTCACAATGTTTATTTTTGAAAGACACTTAACAGAAAATAACACGTATATCCTTCTGGTATAGTTAATTTGGAAAATATATTTGAATACTTTAATACAGTTGTCATTCATCAACAACGTAGAACCTACTCCTACACCATAAAACATTGCTCATCAGGGCAGTTGGTCGTTGGGCATAGGTAACATATGTCCCAGCTATCTCAACCGATTAAGTTTCACTACTTCATCAATTGATTTGCCATCCTTATCTAGTACCCGTTTTTTAACAACTGCATTACTTACTCGGTGGTCACATGATATACGAGCAATGTTTCGAAGACACCTATGGTCGAATACTAGTAACCTACGAATATCCTCTACTCTTACCGGTCATGTTTCACTGCTATAAAGTAGGACGGAACGAACTGCTGCACAGTAAACCCGTCCTTTGGTTATTCGAGCCTTCTGTATCCGTGCTGAGATTTCGTCACACACCAAACCACAAGGGCTGATGAGACTCCCAAGATAAGTGAAGCGATTGACACGCTCAACTACTTCACTCCCTATCATTAGTTCGGGTGTCGATGCAACCCAATCCTGAAGCAACATTTTGCATTTCGAGGAGGAGAATCGCATCCCGAACATGCTTGCATTGTTGCTTAGAGTGGTCATAAGACTCTGGATTTTGTCAGCGTCTTCACCAAATAAAACTATGTCTGAATGTGTGTCTATGTTCTAGGACCTGACGTAGTGTGAATATCTGGTCTATACAGCCACGTACAGGTCGGAAACCAACCTGGTCTTCTCTAGTCTGTTCTTCACGAGCTTTAGTTAAGCGTCGAATTATTATTGAAGCTATATTAGTCCAACTAATTCCTCTGCGATTGTCACAAGAGTTGACTCGAATAGTAGTTACATAAACCACTGGATTAACTATCCATAATTCTCACTGTTATTTGCCCCAAAAATAATTATAGTAGTCACTGATTTTTCATCAGTCAGTTACAACGTAAGACCAGGTACATATGTGCAGCAGTAATTTTTCATAGTTGCTGAGGTTTTTTCTGAACTGGTTTGTTCAGCGATAAAAACACGAGTGTTAAGTTCTATAAAAAAAAAGTCAGTTGTCTTTTGGGCAAACTCATTCTCAAGGTTGTACACACACTAAATATTCACTTTTCCCATAACGATAATCAATATATTTGTTTAAAATAAGCGGTAAAAAGTTGTTTTATTGAGCATATTAACTAAATCACAAAAAAAATGTTTTTTTCTCAATTAAGAAACTGGAGGTATGGTTTTCAAGACCTTAAATATTCATCAAGAATATCATAGGCGTTAAATAAAGAATAATAATTATGAGAAAGAGTTGGTTAACATGATTAAAAATGTTGAGATTAAAACAAAGTGTAATCAGAGTGAGTTTGGAAAGAAAAGATATTGGTTAGGATTAAAACGTCACCAGAGAAGAAAAGAATAAAAGGTTAGTGGTCTTGGAAAACTACATTTTAAGACTATAATAGAATGAGAAAAATTAAGTAATTGCTTTTCGTATACACAGTTCTGGTTTCTGTAAATGTATTACGGCAAAGACCACAATAATGCTAACCAACTAACAGCTCACTACCTTTTAATAATGTACTGATTATTTATCGTTGAATGGGCATTTTCCAATCGAAATTGATCCACCAATCACTGTCTTTTTTCAAATGTATGTTCACTCTGTGATTCGTTGAATGGTTCATATTTATTTATAATAGATTATCTTTCCCTTTTGCTTTTATCTATCATTGATAAAGTCAGATAATTTAATGACTGTTATTAGTGTAAGAGATTCGTGGAGATTGTAGAGTTCTCAAAGTTTGGATCCCTTACCCACAAACTTGCATCCGGTAATCAAACCCGGGACTTTCGGTATCACGCATGAACGTCTTACCTTTAAATCACTTAGTCGATTGTAGGTCCAAATGGAAATTCTAAAATGAGCTTTCTGTGCGTCGTGAATTTTAAGTATTCTGTAGCCAAAATACTTCGTTAAAACTATCTTTCCCTAACAGTTTTATTACATATATACCGTAATCATAGGGATAAATTAAATCAAATTCGCTGTATTACAGTAATCATAAGATTTATATATATTCGTGTTTCTTACAAACGCTTAAGTGTCATTTCAAATTATTTTTAAACCTACAGAGACGAGGCCTACATCAAGTAATGTTTCAGTAATCCCTAAAATATTTTATTAGGTGCCAAAAATCTTCTAATGGGCAAAAAATCATGTTTTCTTTAAAATTGAGTATTTCGTTTAAATAAATTACCTCTCACATGAATGTTAATATATATGGCAAAAGAAATACACATTTGCTTTAGGATTTAACTGGTTTTGTAATCTGTTCAAATCGACATACTAAACCATAATTTTCATTATGTGTACTGGTTAATTTGACTTGCTTTTAAACAAGCTTTTTTAGGAGTAGCGCTTTGATCCTGGTTTTTGGTTTATGTACTATTGACTCAGTGATTTAATTTGAAACCACTTTTATCAGAGATTACTAGTATTCGATCATGAATCCCTTCGAGACACTTCTCACTTATATTGGAATAATAGGATTAGCAATTCTGAGGTTAGACTCAGAGTACTAGGTAAGAATTGCAAATCGACTGATGAGGCAGCTAATATTTGTCAATGAAGATGATTAGGACATGTATTACGTATGCTCATTTAACAGCTACCCAAACGCGCGTCGACAGTTGGTGTAAAAGGTTGGAATAAAGTTTGGTGCGACCAAAAAAAGACATGTCATTAGTTCATGAAGACACTGTTAGATTGAGTTATGCGGGTAGGTGCATACTACTTGGTTGGGGTCCGCGTTATTATCGTGATCATTAGTTGGAGATCAGGTAGTATAGCTCAAAATCATTTACAGTAGAACAGGTTTACTCATTCTTTGTATTCCTCTAGATCCCATGCTTCTAAAGTCACTGATTTACATTTCCTCGAAATGTATTTTCAGAGCCTAATCGCTTCAATCACCATACACATACCAGGTTCTACGTTGCATATGGCTGGTCGACTACATTAAGGTACTATAATTCCGTGTTCACAGCAGATATGAAACCCAATAATTTTAGTCAAGTTATTTGCGACTTTATCCACACGATAATTTGTTACGTAATAATTAGGGCGTATAACAGTTCTAGTCGCTAAACATTTATATTAAACACATCATGGGGTTGGCCCATTTTAAGTTTAAAATATATTTTCAATAAATCAGTCCCTTTTATTTCCTTATTTCTTCCCTCCAAAAGTTTTTCTTTAAATTTGCATGTATGTATCCACCTATTTTGTTTAAGCTTCAAACAATAATTGTCACAATAAAATTAGAACTGAATGGTGAAATTTACTTGATTTAAATCACAAATTGGGAACTTTGAGGCAACTGTTGAAAAGCTTTTCTAAACCGTATATAAAATTTTACATGAAGAATCTGGTCTGATATGTTAGCAAAATGTTACTGTACTGTTTGAAATCGTGATAGAATTGTAAATCCTTCCCAACTACTCCTTGTCTCGTTCCTGATACAGATATACATATTTTTGGTACAATAATAAATAACACCAGCAAAACAGTCATATGCTACTCTAAAAGTTGGATATTCAGTGCCATGGTAGAAATAGTTTTGAATGTAAAATTTTGCTCTTTTTTAACTAAAGATATTCAATGAATATTTCAGTTGTGGGCAACACTGTATGAGTAATGTTGTTAATGTCGCTGTACGCTTGCATATAGTGGAAATCATTCAGTAAATAATGCCGTTTTGAACAAGTTCTATTCACGTCACCTTCGTAGCTTTCATACTAACCACTGTTTACTGACACCGACTTCGTAAAGACTGAATGGTTTACGAATGAATGTTCATTATTATAGGTTAACATCTGTTAACAGGTAACTCTTAGAATGGTGACGTAGACGTTATGCGTAACGGTGAATTCGAATATTTTAGAACAGAAACTAATGACTAATATGTCATGTTCTTCATAAAGTAGTAGTATGTAATTTTATAGATTTACAAATACAATGTGTCTGGGTTACTTTCTTATGTGGATTGGATTCTATGCTTATCACACACCTTTGCGATTTAGTTCTGTGTGACATGTTTCTTGGTATTGTATTCTACCAAATATTGTTGGGTTATAAGTATAATAATAACTTTTGTTGTGTCGACTTTCATACAAATTTCTGTTTTCGCGAGTTGCTTATTAATACGTCCGAACACAGTTCGATCACAATTCAAAAAGTTTGTAGTAAAATATTATATTTTAAAGGATAATTTCATGTCATTTGTCTTTTTTACGAGAGTGATTTAATAATTAAGTAATTCTTTTCTCGTTTTACTCAAGATGTCTGCTCAAGATGCTGGAATCGTAGATGAAAGCGAAGCCACCGATCCAAACAGAACAGGAGGGAATTTACCAGAAGAAGATAGGACTAACGAACATGAAAGTGAAGAGGTGAATGGAAATTCTAGTGTCGTTGATAATGATGACATGGATTTACCCAAAATACCAACTAACATTTTCCACAATTCAATTGATTACCAATTGAGTAATAATAGTTTCGATTTGTCAAGACCAGCTAAAATATTACGGCTTAATGATAGTGCTGATGATGACAATACTCTTATTGTATATCCATTGCAAATCAATGGTATTTCTTCTGTTCATAGTTCTCATGAAAATATCCCTGGCTTATGTAATCCCTTTCCAGCTATTCAAATATCTAATACACCTGTATTTGAAGCACAAAACAAATCAACTATTACTCTTAGTGGGTCTAGCCGTCGTAAGCCTAATAAAATGCACTTAGTACAGCTAAGACCAGATTATTATTCAGAGTCGAATTTCCAGTCGATTCATTCAATTAATCCTGTGGTAGACAATTCTACAGTTTCCTTATCAAATCAACAGTCTAATGACACAAATTCAATGCATTCTCAAATAACAAATAGTGATAATAATAGTATTGTCGGAACAGACTGTGATCACCTTACTAAAATCAATCATCCACCTGTTAATTCGGTACATAATCGTATAGGTGTATAAATAATTTTTCATATTCATATCTATCACAATGATATATAATGTTTCAACTCTGGTAGTAGTATTTTGTTTTTTGCGTACTATGTTTGTGTGAAAATGTTAAAATTTCTTCCTCAGACATTATATATATGCATATGTACATAATTTACTTATTTTGTTGAATAGATATGTCTGCTTGTTTGTATTTTTGGATATTATTATGTTTCATTGCAATTTTCTTGACGTTTTTCTAAATTATTTTTGTGTATTTGCTGTTTGCGCATTATAATGTTTTCTACTAATGTAATTACATGTGGTTTTTTTCTCTTATGTCCTTTTACACATTTACTTTCTCTTATTCTCTCATGTGTTGTGTTTAACTCCGGTTGAACCTTTTCTTCATGCATATTCTTTTGTTTATATCAGTATGAATGTAGGTTTACGTGGTTTGTTAACCTACAGTGCAGCTGTAGTAACTAATTCAGGTGTACTGTTCCTTAGAACAACTACCTCGATGTGGTATTCGCTACTCTCTTTTTCTTTCCCATACATTATGTATTTTCTATGGATATGTAGTTGATCATTCAAACTTGTTTTACGGCTAATGATAAAGAAAATAGTTGGAGCGCATTTAATCTTTTAACCAGTGGCTTATGCTGTGAACTCACTAATTTCTCATACAAAATCTGTTTGGTAACTTTCTCTAAATAAATATTTCTCAACAATTAAGTTGAATAATACTATTGTGTGTATTTCTTCTCCGGGATATTCTTTCCCTCAAACTTGTTTATGTTATATAACAGCATTTTTTTTCTCAATGTAATATTTATCCCATATATTTATTATTTGTTTATGTATAATGTAGTTGGTATTTAATGACATTCTATTGCTGATTTTGTTCTTGTTTTAAAGTCTAGTCGTTGAGAAGTTAAAAAGCGATCAATACACTATAAGAAATATATTATAAAATGAAATGTTAATTTTTTTGTCTGTCTCTTGTTTGACTGTTCAATTAAGTGTTTCGATCTACTACAGCTTGTTTTATTTCAGAGAGATATTCAAACCATTTTTCCTTTTGTAAACCAGTTTATCTATTTGTTCCATTCAATATTCAGTTGTATAATAAATAATAGCTAATGCTTTATTCATATTATTTCTCTTGATCTCTACCATTTTGTTCTGTTTTTAATTATTGAATTTGTTACATTCAACATTGGAATTTGTACATTCTGCACAAAATAACTATAGTTAACGTTATTGTATGCATGTATACACCATTTGCAATACTGCTGATGATAATAAAACAACATCTACTAATGATGATAACCTTGTGCACATTTATTATAATTCCGTTTCGTAACAAATTATTTAGTAATAAATTTTTGATTGATTTATTTATACTCTGTTTTTTTGGTTTTGTTTTCTTTTCTAAATGTTTCGTTGCATTTTTCAACTGTTTATACTTTCCATGTATGTATGAATCAGAGGTGGTGGTAGTATATTGCTACTGTCTTATTTTGAGCTCAGTCACTTTTGTTAAAATGTATTACTTTGTTTGTTTGCTTCTTTTTTCTGATCAGTTGTTAATTTGCCCCATTTTTGTTGTTGATGGCTATTAGGTTTTCCTTTCCATGTTCTGCTTTTACGTATTATACTTAAATACAGTTATACGCATATATATATATATATATATATATATATATATATATAATTATGCTATTTACAAAAATGTTTACACTTCAATACATGTATACAAATAATGGGATATATATCTGTAATTTCGTAACTGATTATATACATATATATGATCTTTTTATCCAAACTGCTGAAAAATATATTAGTACAATTTTCAAAAGTTCATGATTTATAAATATTGCTTTTGCTCGGTTTTCCGTCTTAAGAGGGACTTGTACATGTTAGATGATGAAATGAGACTAATAGATATTGTTAGCTTCAATGATATGTGAAATCGCATATTTTCATAATACATTCTTCGAAATGTAAAAATTTGGTTATCTAATAGCTAGTAGTTATTCATTTAGAAATCTCTATCACTGGTACTGATTAATTTATCGGCGGAATTCGCGTTGGATACAAAGTTCTACTTACAAAAAATAGATTCTTGTTTGAAATGCTTATTTTGTTTCTTGATATTTTGGTCAAAAATTGTGTCTAAAACATGATATTTAGAGATATCATTTCATCAGAAAAAATGTTCTTAGGTATTGTTTTCGATGAATGACGTTGAGTTGCTTTTGGTATGGAAAAGAATAATGTATTAATTTAATTAACTGTATTGTATCACTACATATATTCTGTTACTCAATAATTTGACCCAACTTCCTTCTGATCAACGATGAAACACAAATGAAGTTGATTATTATACTATTAGATGATTACGCTAATAAAATATTGAGATTATTAACCAATTCATTTTAATTATGGCTTTGAAATTTTATGATAATATTAACAATAGATGCAAATTTAGGTAAACTGGAAAGAGCTATATTTATATATATACCTATACACTGACAACTTGTACTCTTGATTATTCCCGTCTTTTTTGTTTTGTATGTAATCTTCGACTCTATTGAAATGTAATCATTCACCATAAGATCATGATTCAAAAACACTTATGACCAGTTCTATTGACATAAGTCTAATTTCATTGATCCCAGAAATGTCATGTACTACAAAAGCATAAAATATAGCTAACCAGTTTTCCTCGGTAGTGTTCAGATATTTTAAAAGCTTATAATGCTGCATTGATAACACTATCATATTTAAGGGTTTATTCAGTTGACAGCTTCTCGATATTTTGACACTCCTCGGTTGTGAGACCAGAGTTGTTGCAAATTATCTCTGCTGTTTTCGCAAAAGTTTTTATCTATATTTCGTTAGTTAGCGTCTCAGCTCACGTACATGATTAACGAGGTCTGTACCTGTCAGTGCTTGAAACCTGTTGAATTCATTATCCATTTCAAAATCCATATGTCCAACTTTTCCACACTATTTTATCATTTGTTACTAAATAAAGACAATAAATTAATGAATTACCTGGTTTCTTAGTTTATGTTATGTGAATCTTCTGAAATATGATTTTTGTGATCGACTGTTTTACGAATGTCGAATTATCATGAAAACTTTTATGACGAGTTCATTCGTAATATTATCATGGTAGTTATTCTTTCGGTCTATAAAATGCAAATGTTAATTCTTGTATATAGTTTGGTGTGATAATGAATATATGTTACAGGAATTTCTAATTGCCTACCGCTTAGTCTAACAGTAAACAAAATTATTCACTACAAAAATACTTATCTAATACATTATTCTACAATATATGGAAAACTAACAAGGTCTGTCTATTCACAATTCAAAAGTTTGAATACACAGACCACAAACGACTTTGTAAAGCACGTAGATCTAATCAATATAAATAATCATACAACTACTTGGAAGTGTAACATTCATTTCATAATCAAACTCCAACAACCCCTAATTATGAAATTATCAAAAAAATAAAAAAAGAATTATGTTATTTTAGGTAGTCAGCTACAAAAAACGGTGGATGAATATTGTTTCGCTTTCAGATAATTGGAGATAGAGATTCAGTCAGACAGATTCCTCTTTGAGCTGATTCTATATAGAATATAATGCATAACTGTTTAATAATCAATACTGGCTAAGAGAACGAATGTGTTAAAAATGGCTGTATGTATGTCCAAACGCCGTTTGTCTATTTATCTATTTGTTATCTTGCTGAAAACCGTGTATCTGTATGTTGTTGATTAAGAGGGTATATTAAACTCAATGATTTGTGTCACCTAATCGTGTTGTGTTTCACCATTCAGTAGGCTCAGACGACTAACTGAATGTGTTCTGGTTCATTCAGTTATTCATTCCACTTCTAATATTGACATCACTTCTGATAGTTGAACTCAAATTTCAAGATGAAAATAACAGTGAAAATATTTAATTCGTTTGTTATTATTGTTACAGTGTATGTAACCAACAATTTATTAGCTAAATAAATCATCTTGACTTAAGTGAGCGTGTTTGTGTATAGGTATATACATAATCCAGGTCTTCACTGTTTAATGAAAACGTAACATAATGTGTAACACAAGTGCGACCGTTTGCCAATGTAAGCGAATACATTCGAGACGTATATTTATATTCGCAATCGGCTTTAAATCAGTATTAACTTTTATAATATTATACCAATTAAATTAGTGTATAAACTGAAGTCCTTTTTTTATCTTATTCAGTAATTGCTGTTCTTACGCTTACTCAAATCTTAGTTTATTTGCTTTTTTTACTAGATAGTTTAGGTGTGTGGAAATTTTTATGAGCACAAAGTTTTTAATTCCAGAAATTTTTGAAATTTTTATTCTCATATTCATTTTTTTAATGCTAGAAGCGAAGGTTTATGGATTTTCTGTAGGTTAGAGATTTTTTCCACAAATCACTTGACCAAAATAATCAAGATCTGCGTAATGTCTAACTTGAACACACCATCAAGTTGATTTTTTGCTACTCTCAGCCTTTCATGTTCTAGCAAATATGTTTTCCAGAATCTAGACTATCCTCAGTTAATGATATGATGTGCAACATTAGGAAGTGTTATAGTTAACTGATTGATTTATTGGTATTCCTTCAAAACATATTGAAATCATAAACCTTAAATAGATAACTTTGGTTTTCTATCTTCCATTCTCTGTTCATTTGTATCAACGTGGGATTGTGCTGGTCAATGCTTATAAAACAGATATCAAAATATCCATTATTATGAAAGTTCAGTTAACACGTTTACATGGATGTAGATGTACATTTCATCTTAATTAATAATCAGTTTACGATTATTCGCTTGAAGGTTGGATAACAGCTTATCTGGAAGTTTGTTCAGTAATTCTGAAAAGACTAACAGCTCTACTAGTGTCAGCTAATAGTGTTCCAACTGAGACGGTTTAACAGAGATGGATTAGAAGATCATCCTGTAATCTCTTGTTGCATATTAGTAA